ATGAAATTTTATGTTTATTAAATGTGAAGTAATAAAAGCATTAGTTTTAATTATCTATTTTGTATATTTCTCAATGTCAAGATCATCATATATTCTGATTGGTCATCCATAGTATACCTCCTATTAGTCAGATAATACAAACAAAGACATGAATGAATGAGCAAAAAACTTGAAATTTAAGCATTGTTCTCCGTTAAAACAAAGAACTCAGATAAAAATTCTTATGACTCGTACAAATAATAGCAATATTGAACATTCTCCATCTCATACATCATCATCTTCATCATCAGCTGTAGCACAACCATCATCAACTGAACCAAAAGATATAATAAATCAAAATGAATTAACAATACAAAAACTTTTACTTGAATTACAAGATGATCTTAAACAAACTAAAGAATGTTATAATTCAAGTCGTGATGCTTGGCTTTCCATTCAGCAACAGCAGAAATCCTCAACATCGCCAAATGAAAATATTAATTCTCAATCATCTAAAACTAATCTTACACAAGCACTTACAAACGTTCAAAACGAAATAAATATGTATAAAACAGCTCTAGCTAAAATTTCTCAAGTTCGTCAATTACAAATTGAAATTGCTAATGTTACGAAAAATCATATTGATGTTAGCCGTAGTCATACAACACGAAGAGGTCTAGCTGATCTTCTGTCTCACATGGCTTATGTTTTGAAAATTTGGTATGGAAGTGAACATTCAGGAAATTGTTCAAATAAAGTGAGTTTTTAATAAGATATATAATACTGAAATATCCTTATTTATTAAATTATTGAGGAAAAAATATAAGACCTTGTACCTTTGATAATATTCTGGTTGATTAACTCTAATTTCCTATATTAAAAACTATTTTTCGATGTATAATTAAAAACTAGTCAATCGTATTATAATTTATATGTTTTTTTCAGGGTGATGTACCGCCACCACTTTGTGGTGCTATACCAGCTGCTTCAAACCATGTATGTCATGTTGGTGATCTTATAGCTGGTTTTGTTGAAAGTGATGATGGTGATGAAAATTGGATTTTAGCTGAAGTTGCTAATGTACATCCAAATAAAACTAAATATGATATTGTTGATATTGATGCTGAACCTGATAAAGGTCGTTATTATAATATTAATAAACGACATGTTATACCATTACCACAATGGCGTGCTTGTCCATTAACATGTCCTCAAGCATTATTTGTACGACGTACTATTGTACTTGCACTTTATCCTCAAACATCTTGTTTTTATAAAGGTATTGTTGAAAGTATACCGCGAATTGGAAAAGATTCTTATAGTATAATCTTTGAAGATTCATCTTATAATAGTGGTTATTCACCGGAATTTGATGTACCACAAATGTTTGTTGTTGCTTATAAAGATGTAAAAAAATAATTTATAGTTGTTTTTTCGTTTAATGTATAAATTGTGTTTAATAATAAAATTCAATAGATTAGAATTTTTTATCGAATTTAATCTCGTTTTATTTTGAAAACAGTATTGCAAATGATTCTTTTATGTATTACATTTTAAAGTCAATGTCTGGATTTTTAGTTTTCCACGATAGATGTCACTATTATTACAACATAAACAACTAAATTTATCCAAAAAAAAGATAAGATTAATGTGATAATTACGACCGATCAATCTACAAAACATTCTTTCATCTAATCAATCCCATAAAGGATAACATCATTTCCATCATTTGACAGCAAAATTAGTTATTTTGACTATGAAAAATAAAAATGTATGTCATATTCTAGGTACCTAGCTAACATCGAACGTAATCGTTTAATAATAACTAACCAAATCTGTTAAAGATCTATTAGAAATGGCTAAAACTTTATTTCATATTTATATTTTCTTGTATGATAGATGACTATGTTTTTTTCATATTTCGTAATCAAATCACGTATACATGCGATCCTTAAAACGGAAATTTTCTTATTAAAAGTTACACATGAGAAAATCTGTCAATTCAGCTGTAAAAACAAGATCTCGTTTATTTTTAACATGATTTTTGTTAACAAAACTTGCTTTGAAGATATTTATAAAAAATCGAGAATAATAAATTACTTGTCCTTTTATAAATTTTCTACCTGAATATGAATAGAATCTCATCTATATATTTATTTTCTACGTGAGCAAACAAATATAAATGTTCAAAGAAAATGGATTATTAAATAGAATAACAAAAGACGTCAAAGCAAATATTTTCATCAATCATTATGTATATTATTAGTTGAAAGATAAAGAGAATCATTAGTATATAATTAAGATGAACAAAAAAAAGAACTAAATTAATAATATAAAAATAAGTATTCATTACACACTCTTTTTCTATTTTATTCGGATGAACAAAAGATCATTAAAAAGAAATTCAATTTGACAAGAAGGAAAAAACAAGAGATGATGATCATAATAGAAAAAATCCATCCGATTTAATCTCAAGTGCGATTCATCAAAAAAAAAGAGAGAACTTCTTTTTCATTTATTGGTTATAATAGTAATAGTTATAATTCAAGTGAAGTGAATAATAATCGATCATCATCATCCGAGACTAGTGAAGTATTATCATCATCACCGAGAAAAAGAAAAAAAAGCTACATTTAATAACTTAAATTAATTCTTTTACTTTATAATATAATTCGAGTATAAATAATATCTAATACATGTATATGAATACAAAGCATGTTCTATTCTCTTCATGTATTTGTAAATATAATTATGAATTCTCCTATGCATAAAAAAATTGAATTATAAGTCATAGGAAAAAAAAAAGAAGAAAATAATAATTTACATATATATATATATATAAATGTGTGCATCTTGAAGATGATTCATATTCGTTAGGGCATGAGATTGCATGAACTATCATGCAAAAAAAATACAACAGTGAGATAGATCAAGATGAACTATTTTCGCGCCAACGAGATGTATTTTTTGGAGCTAACGCTAATTTTTTCTATATAACATTACAATTGTGCTTAGTAATATATGTGTATTCCTATATAGTAGCTTAGATGAAAATCGGCTCGCTGCGTTCGCGCAACACAAGCATCATGGTCTCTCTCTCTCTCCCTCTCCTCCTGTTTTTTTTCGCGTCACTTGACGAAGAAGAACAGAGGGAAGAATGAGATGCAAAAGACTGCTAGTTTTTTTTCCTTGTGTGTGTGTCTCTCTCTCTCTCTGTCTTCTCTTTTCTATGTTTCATTTATTACTACTCTTCTATTCTCAGCTCATGGTTACTATTGCATATATACCAAAAAAACGACAACAACAGCTACTATAAATTGGCATTCATTTTCCTATATCCTAACGATATTATTCTTTAAAGACTTTTTTTCTATTTATCATCTAACTGTTTGTCTAATATATATCTATATATATCTATATATATACTTGTTAAGGAGAGGCTAACCTTCAACTGATGACAAGATAAACGTGTTAAAGAAGAAGAAGAAGAGAAAAAAAGAGGCGTCAAAAATACTTATTAAATTTCATTTTTGTTTTGTTGTCACAGACATACACGTGAAGAAAAAAAATTTACAACATGAACCATCCGATATTAGCACAGGTAAGACTTGCTATTTAATCAGATTTGATTATGCTTTGACTGTCGTGTCACATATTTATTCTTGCTTATCTCGTATATTTCTTGGAGTAAATGTAATAAACACAACTGACATTTGATGATATCTATGTATTATACATTGCTCTCAAGAGATAATAACGGTTCCATTGTGACCTTCCATTATATTATCTGACACTTATTGCTGGATTTTTTTTCCTCAATATCATATTTATCAAAAAATAAAAGAAAATTGGTTAGTTTACTATAATGATATTTTTGTGAGTTAAAACAGATTCACTGTGGTCGTGAAATGACTTTTACTATGTTTATGTTGACAAGACTTGTTAACAACATATGAAAAACATATTATAGAATAAATCGGTTTTAAAGGCATCACATCATATAACAGACCTTCAATCTAAAAGAATTAATCTATAAGATATAACAAGAGATAAAATAAAAAGGAATATTGATGAACATCAAAGATACAGGAAAAGGCAAAGTTGATGAAGGTCAATAGGCACCATATTCGATTGATTGTATGAGTGAATCTCTCCTACTGGAAAAATATCGAATGATGAGAAACAGAACAAGAAAAAAAACATTATAATAAATAAATATATATATGTATGGGCGTTTTTCGTTATTCATCGTACATTCGTAACGTAAAAAAACGCAATATGTGTCACAGCAGAACTAACGACACACAGATTTTATCGTTTAATAGTACATGACAATACGAACTATGACGTGTTTAATTATGACTATATATTTTCGTCTTTGTTTGTTGAATTTGATTATATTAGAATAAATATTTTTTTTCTTGTATAGATTGTTCCTCAAGTAGCAGCTATATCCGATCGAGCGGATAAAATGAAAATGGTTTCCAAATTATCAACAATGTCAAGTAAATTTTTTATTCTATTATTAAAAAGCTTTTAGAAAATTTTTATTTTATTCTATATAGTTGATAAATCAGCATGTAAAATTCAAGCAGCATTTCGTAAACATCAAGCACGACTTAAATTAAAAAAACAAGCCGCATGGCAAATACATGAAAAACTTGAATATTCTAGTGAACAAACTGAATCGAAGGTAAAATATGATAGTTCTATTAAATTATTAATTGTTTTTTTTCCTGTTGTCATTAGCTTAAAGATATGTTTGAAAAATTAATTAAAGCTTCAGGTACACTTTCACCATCAGTTACGAAATTACTTCATAAAGCTGGATTACCTGTAGGTAATGTATTAGTTTTTTTCTTGCCTTCTAAATGAAAAGATATATATTCATATTTGATTTATTTTGTTATAGAAGAAAAAGAACTTCTAAAATTAACAAATCCAGATAATATTCGAGTTGAAACAAGTTATCGAGGACCACGTAATGATTTTACTAATAGAATCAAATAATTCAGGTTTATTTTATAGGGATAGACGGGCCAATTACAAGAAAAGTATTTGTCGATTTAATTGAAGCTTTTCAACGTGGACAAGTAAGTAGAAAAAAGCGTATCTTATTACAATGAAAATAATACAGAAATCATTTTGAACTATTAAAACAATCATAAGGATCCATGTTGAGAGATAGTTAGCATGTTAAGTTATAATTATGAAAAATAAATGTCAAAAAGACTCAACAATTTTCTGACATTTCATTATAATTATTATAATCTCGAACTAACGAACGTAATGTCATGAAGTACTTTTTATTTATCGAATAATCTATCTTAAATACGTTCTTTTATCTTTTTCTTAATCTATGATATTTATATACTTCATTGAAGAAAAAAAGAAGGATGTACTTTTTTTTATCTGTTGATTTGTTTTATTATTAGATTTTACATGAAAAATATGTTTGTGAAATTCTACATCAAGCACGTGCTATTCTTAAAACTGTTCCTAATTTTAATCATATCGATTTAGCAAATTTACAACATGTATTTATTGTGGGTGATTTACATGGACAATTAGCTGATCTATTACATATATTTAATACAGTAAAAAAGAAAAATGAAAAATTTGTTTTTATTTATTTATGTATTTTTATAGAATGGACTTCCATCAACCGATAATGCATATATATTTAATGGAGATTTTGTTGATCGAGGTCGAAATTCAGTTGAAGTTATTCTATTACTTATGGTTGCTCTTATTCTCTATCCAAGCTCAGTCTTTCTCAATCGAGGTATATATATATATTAAAATTAGATTATTTTATCAAAGAACAAAAAAAAATATATTTTCTCTTTATTAAAATATAATTGTAGGTAATCATGAAGATATTATGGTTACTGTTCGATATGGTTTTCATAATGAAGTCAATCAAAAATATCGAGTTAGTTTATATTATTGATAAAAGAATATCGAAAGTTCTGAATAAACAAATTATATTTAGACACGGAAAGCACCATTAATTGATCTATTTAAAGATATATTTAGCTGGTTACCACTTTATTCATATGTTGATGCTGGAAAAATGAAATTAATTGTTATGCATGGAGGAATATCAGATAAAATCAATTTAAAAAAATTAAATAGTTTATCTAGAAATAGATGTAAGATAAAAAATTATTTGAAAGAAAAATATAAAATCGAAATTTATTTTTCTCTTCAGATGTATCTATTGAAGTACCTCCTGAATCTAAATCTGGTGGAAAAAGATTAACTGAAGAAGAAGATAATGAATATCATCAAATACAAGGTAAAACAAACATTTCTTTATAAATCATTCGTTTTCTATTTCAGCGTTTTAAGAGGAATGTGGGAGGATATTTAATATTTCCTTAAGTGACTACAATTTTTACTATTAACGGAAATCTTATCAGAAAAAAACTAGAGTTAAAGAATAGTTGCTCATATTCCTACAAATAATATCTTTTTTTATTTTGTTTGTTAAAATCAATTCCTACACTCAGTCTATAGTTAATCTAAACAAAAAATACGAAACGAAAAGTATACAGAAAAAAAAAGAAAGGTGCTGCAATTACTTCCAATTACGGTTACGGAAGTGCTATGATGGAAAAAAAACAATTATCCTTCTAAGCTTTCTAAATAATTAATTTTTTTTCTTACTCCGTTATTTCCTCAGCTCAACAATTCTTATGCATATTTTATTCGATCTATTCGTTAATGTAACACTAAATATACTTTTTTTTTGCATAGTATATCAATTATGTATATATGCGAGATCTACTAACAGTCTAATTTATAAAGATAAGGATAGAAATGAATGTTCGATTGCATTCTTATAAACAATACACGAGAGTAATTTTATCTTTTATCGATCAATTATCATACTAATTATCTATTATTAATTTTTAAGGATGAAATTCAATTCTCCATTTGTTTCATCATGAAATCGTAGACTATCTTTTATCCGATGTTAAGAATGGAAAATAGACTCAATAACTTGAAAATTATTATAATGAGTTATTCACACTCTGAAAAAAAAATATATTTCAATCTCTGAGTCAAGAGTTTCTAATGTAGAACAAAAAAAAGGCATAAATTTATAATTGTTAGTCAATGAAGTAACAACTAATACTCTAGAGGTTGTGATATAGTAATCATTTTTAGATGTGAAATACAAAACTATTATTAACGATTTTCTTCGTAGAATTCTTTTATGTAATAATCATAAATATAAAACTATAATTGGATATTTATTTCTCTCATAGATTTATTTTGGAGTGATCCTGATCCTCGAGGTCGTAAAGGTTGTCGTAAAAATGATGATCGAAAAATGGCTTGTTTCTTTGGTTCAGATGTAACACATGCATTTCTAAAAAAATATAATTTAAATATGATAATACGTTCACATCAAGCAAAACAAGATGGTTATGAATATAATCATGATGGAAAAGTTTTAACTGTTTTTAGTGCATCGAATTATTGTGGTGGAAATAATTGGGGTGCTGTTGTACGATGGTTTGTTTCTTTTTTTTTATATAAAATGACAAATATTAAAATAAAAATACGTCGTTTTTAGGGATTATAACGAAGAAGAACCATGGATTTCATCGTTTAAAACCGAAGGTGTTGCAATGGAAAAATTAAGTTTTAGTAAACAGTAGGATATCTAATTATTAATCAGAATAATGTACTATATTTCTTCTATTTTATAAAGAGTTACTCTATTCGAAGATCCAGCTTATCATTCGTTGATTGAAAAGATTATGTCAAATAAAACTTTACTTCTAAAAGAATTTCTCAAAGCAGATACATCTAAAACTGGTGGGTTTTTTTTGTTTCAATAAATTTATCTATTAACTTTTTTTTATTTTTTCATAGAACATTTATCTCTAACAATCTGGGCTGATATTATGTCTGATGTTCTTCAAATGGATCTACCATGGCTTATATTACGTACAAAATTAGTTCAAGAAGATCCAAAAGGAATTCTATATAACACGATGTTTACTGATTATATTTTAGATAATTCGAAATTTCAAATGGTATGAAATTAAGATTAATTTGTAGATTTTGTTTTTAAAAAACATATATTTTAGGCAAATGCGGGTATTATGGAAGATTTATATATGTGGAAAGATATGTTGTTAGCATTATTTAATCTAATTGATTATAATCATTCTGGTTTGATTTAAATTTTTAATTAATGAAAATTGAATATTTTTCTATTTGTTAAGGTTTTATAAGTCGGAATGAATTTGCGGATATTATTAAAATTATACTTGATGATGAAAATGGGTCTGGTAGTGTGAATGATGCATATGTTGAGGAATTAACATCAGCAATGGATTTTGATAAGAATGGAAAAATTGATTTTAACGAATTTCTTGGTAAGTTAAAAAACAAAATATAGTTTTATTTTGACAAAGTATCGTTCTTCGGGTTGATATATATTACTGTCTGTGGAATTAGTATCTATTCAGAAGGAACGAATGGATAATATAACTATGAAATCGATAGTTCTGATTTCGAGAAACGAAGAAATTATACTAGAGCTTGCAGGATATATACAATCAAGTTCAGCTTTCTTTTTAAAAGAGGTTAAAAAGTAAAAACCTAGAATTCAATTGTCCTATTCTTTGAATTTTTTTACTGATAAATCTATTAGTTTAATAAATATTCATGTACTTGAAAACATCTTCATAAAACTCTCTAGATTCTATTATTTTTGAGTACGTACGTAAGAGTTATCATCATAGTAACTGAATATAAGAATTTCAATCAATTATTTATATTTATATTTATTTTTTAGAAAGTTTTCGAATTGTCAACGTGAAAAAACCTATAATCCCCATCAAGCCAAGTAATGCTAAAGACAAATCAAATGGAAAACTAATTGAACATAAAATACGTGTATAATACATATATATCATAACAAATTATGTGTAAAAATATTCATTCCTTATTAATAAAAACGTACAAAGAATGTTTTTTTTTGAAAAAATTTCTATATTTATCTTATTGTTGTCTTTGTATATGTTTTCATATACAAAAACAATTGTGGCGTCTTTTTCTCCTTTTTATTTTCGTTGATTGCGGTATTAAGAAAATAGAAATTATGTTAATTTCTTATTCAATAAAAAAAGATATAGGAAATAATTCAATCTATTTAGATTTAATAATATACAGTCCAGGAGTCTTTGCAAATATGTTAAGCTTTATCGTCGCGTTCTAGGCTAATTAAAATTTCTTTGGTGTTGGAAAGAATGATGTGAATTAAAAAAACTAGATATTTGACTATTCATTCTAGAAAAATGTATTAAGTACAAAGCTGTGCTTCTTCTAACAAAAGAAAATTTAATTAGTTTACACCTTGGCGGTAGGGCTTAACAAAGTCTGACATATGTGCAATGATTTTTGTATTGCATGTTAGTCAAAAATTTTTGTGGGTGAATTGATCTTTTATATCTTGTATGAAATTTTATATCTATCAAAGGAATAGTCAACAAAAGCAAGTAGTTTAATTAGTATCCATTTTCGGATTAACACAAGGGGTCCTGAGTATTCTTGTGAAATAAGATATTAATGTGTGTTATGTTTTATAATGAATATATTTGTTCGTTATAGTTTGAATGACGAATTTAAAATGTATCTGACATTATTTCTTTTGACAATCAATAAAACTAAAGGTTGTTCTACAAATCAAAAAATGATTAATCGCTTGTTTTGCTTAATAAACAATATGAACATTCGTCGGTAGTAGTCTCATTTACGACTAGATTACGAATGATGTCTGTTCGCAATAAAAGATAACATTTATTTATCATTGTTGTAAAATGAAATAAAATTTTATCAAAAAGATTGATTGCGAAAAATAACACTATAAAACAGATAATGGACGTTATGTATAATTCTATAAAGATGAAGTTCAGTTTCTTTTGACTAAAGAAAAGTGGTATTCACATTGTAAAAGTTAAATAAAAGACAATGTTTGACTTTATTCCGAATGTGATAGTTTATGTAAAATAATATTATTTGGGTGTCATTAGATCAAATATATTTCGTTAATTGATTACTAAATTCTTGTATTACTATTATTTAATCATATTGTATTTCTAATATTAATATTCATATTAATGAATTTGATAGTCATAGTTAATCTCTTTCTAATTTACTTCGATAACATTTATATTGATACAGAGCCAAAAGATAAAAAGAAATCGCTGTTCGTATGCACGTACATTCAAGTATAAATATAACGATAACCAAAGTTTATTTTAACGCTTTATGTTCATCATTCGTTATAAATGTCAGACATGAATGTTAATAAAGTCTATAGCTTATGTGTCTATCTACATTGTATAAAGATCATTTACATTTTTCATTTTTATTATAAATACTACGAGGAATGCTGTTTTCATTGCGACGTTGTTGGCGTTTATTAATTATATTATTAACACCATTATTTCTTCTTCCATTACCACTTTGTATACATTCAGCTGTAAGATTTTAGAATTAAGAAAAAAAGTACATTTAATTTTTTCTATTTTTCAGCAAGCAAGATGTGCTTATATTGTATTACTTCTTACAGTTTATTGGGTATCCGAGGCGGTTCCTTATGCTGTTACATCTCTATTTCCATTAGCGTTATTTCCTATGCTAAATATTTTACCTGGAGATGAAATCGGTCATAATTATTTTAAAGTAAAACGAACAGAAATATTTCAATTTATGTGTGATATCGAATTTCTATTCTTATAGGATATAACAACTTTATTTCTTGGTAGTATGACATTAGCTCATGCAATGGAATATGTACATTTACATCGTCGTTTAGCATTATTTGTATTAAGTTTTGTTGGTGCATCAGTAAAATGGTTTAAAATTATTTTGAAAAAAAAAACGATTTTTATTTATTAATTATTTAGGAGTATGGCTGGATTAATGTCTGTAACAGCTTTTATTAGTATGTGGATCAATAACTCAGCTGCAACGAGTATTATGTTACCTGTCGCTATTGCTATTGTTGATCAACTTGAAAATTATGAAAAAGAAACATTTAGTAATGTCCAACCAGCACAAGAAATGGTACCAATAGATACAGATGGTAAGAAAAAGGCTTTTTTTTATTGATATTGAACTATAGGAAAAGTTTAGTTGTGTTTGATGTAAAAACAATGACTGAAGAGGAAAATGAAAATAAAGGAATATTAAATAATACAAATACGAATATGAACGATGAGTAAGTAACAGATTTTTCTATATTTAAATATAATAATAACGTTTTTAGATTAACACCATTTAATAATTCGCCAGGAGATCATCATAAATCAATATTTAATTATCAAAAATTAAAATGTGGTATGTATTGTTTTGAAACAACAATAATTGAATAAAGAATATCTCTCATACTCATAAATATCTATTAGAATTGTTCTCATTGTATCTGAAAATTATTTTATTAAAAATCGAATTCGGACTTTTGGATTAGAACTTACTTTGCAGGAAGGATCTCAATCTAAAATCATTGTAGAACTATAATATCAGTGACATTGTAGAAAATATTTAGAAATCTCCAGAATACTTTTATGAGTTTCTATATCGATTAGGACGTTCATATACATTTAATGAAATACATATGGTATGAATTTTTCTTTTCTTTCAAGGTTTTCTCATCGCTGTAGCATATAGTGCAGCACTTGGTGGTTTAACAACACTCGTTGGTACTGGTCCTAATATATTTGTTAAAGGATTTATTGATCAGTAAATATATGAATTTAATAGTTAAATTTACGTTTCGTAATATTTTAGAATGTATGAAGATGATAAAAAATTCAAATTTGAAATATCTTTTGGTAATTTTTTTCTATATGCATTACCTATTGGTTTAATTATGCTTATATTTTGTTGGTTATGGTTACAAATTTTATATAATCGTAAAGAGTAATTTTAAATTCTTTTTTTTTGATCTATTTTTTATTTAATTATTCACTTTTTTTACGAAAGTTTTTTTCGTTGGAAAAAGGATAAAAATGAACATGAACGAGAAAAACATCTTCAATCTATTCTTAAACAACAATATAAAGATTTAAATTCTTTAACATGGCAAGAAATAATTATTATTTGTCTTTTTATTATTTTAATTCTACTCTGGGTTATACGAGATTTTTCCGATGATCGATGGTTAATTATATTTAAAAAAGAGTTCGTTAAAATGAAAATAAATATCAATTGAAAATATTTTTTCTTTAAAAATCTTATTTAGATATGCAACTGATGGTACAATTGCTTTATTTATTGGTACATTACCACTTGTTTTACCTGATAAAAATCCATTTCAAGGTTTTATTTTTATTTGAATAACAATAGAATATGTAATATATATTTTAGAGAATTGGCAATATAATCCAATTTTACCATGGAATCATTTATCGAAAACATTTCCTTGGGGTGTATTCATGTTACAAGGTGCTGGTTTAGCTATTGCTGATGGTTTTAAAGTAAAAAATAACTGATAAAAAATTTCTTTTGTAATTAAATCTAATGAATTCTTATTAGACATCTGATTTATCAAGTACAATGGCAACATTTCTTCGTTTTATAATTGGTGCTCCACAAATAATTGTCATTCTTTTTGTTATTACAATTAGTGCTATATTTACAGAATTTACAAGTAATCTTGCATGTGCTAGTATTCTATTTCCAATTTTACATAGTATTGTAAGTAATTTCGAAAAAATTTTAAATTAAAAAAGAAATATTTTATTTCAATTAGGCAACTATAGCAAATATACATCCAGTTTATCTTATTATGCCATCATGTATTGCTGTTTCATTATCATTTATGTTACCTATAGGTAAATTGAAAGTAATTTTTCTGTTTTATGCATTTATTACTTTTTTTAGCAACACCACCAAATGCAATGATATTATCAAATAATAATGTTAAAATAACGGATTTAATAAAAGCTGGTATTGGAATAAAACTTTTTGGTATTGTTGTTATTTTTATAGAATCAATTCTTTTATTAACATATATATTTGGAATTGATGAAATGACAACACTTTTTAATTCAACTATATTAATCAATTCTACATTAACCAATTCTACATTAAATTAAAAAAAACAATACTTTTTCTTTACTTTATATAAAATAGATTAACATTAATTATTATTGCTTTGTTTCTTTTATTATTAATTTACTTTGCTTGTTTCAATATATTTACATTTTAGTTGATGATGTTTGAAACTATTCTTAAGCTATACAAAGTTGAATATATTATGAAATCGATAAATAGTTCTCAAAAAGAAAGTTCACATTAAATATTGATATGTGTAGATTTTGAAATTTATATTTTGTCTACTAAAGGATTACTTCTGTTCTTTGTTATATACTTATCTTGTTGTTATATAGGAGAGAGTATTATCAATTCATTTCGATTGAAAAAGAAACTAGAGATTATTCAAGGTTAGAATACATAAAAAAGATTAATCAATTCACATCAATTATTGCACTTTGATTCATTGGGTGTTTCTCGATCTTTTTGTGTACTCAAAAAGAGTGAGTACACTCTAGAGTCTGTCAGTGTATCCGTCCGTTTGCACAATAATTGTTGAGAATACAAACTTATTGTTCTTAATCTTTTGTGAATAGAAACGTCTTATCCATATCCCCAATGACTTCAAAGATGAGATGGATTAGTTGAGCCCTTTTTGAGTTATACCAGACAATATGATTATTTTGTGTCCTTTTCTATCTGAACATTGACCTACCTTGGTTTTTATAAGATACAATATATAAAATATTAACCCAAAATGTAACTTTGTGTCCTCGACTAGAGGAAGGGTCATATGGGATAAAACAGTTTGCTTGCTTGACTTCGAGTCAGAGGTCAAAGATCAAAAAAACATTTCCAAGTTAAAATTCAAATTTCATGAAACGCACCAATCAGATTTTAGTACCATTTTTCGTGGCTAACAATTAAGTAAAACAGTTGGTCACTCGCCTGATCGTAGGGTTTTGAGGGATGCTCTTCCATTTTCCCCGAAAATAGCAGAAAAATCGCTTCTTGATTTTTGATTGATTAACTTTTGCTCCAATTAGATTAAGGGAGAACAAGGGAGAAGAGAAGATAAATAAGGGAGAATAAGAGAGAATATGAGAGAAATAAGGAGAGAGAAGAAAGAAATAAGAGAGCAGCAAGAAGGAAACAAATAGAAATGAGTCAATGGGGAGAAACAACGGATTCAAGATTTTTCCTGGATTTTCGGATTTTTTTGCTTTTTGGACTTTAAAATCCAAAAATTTCAAATAGGAAAAGATGCGATCTCCACCTAGATCTTTTTCTTCTATATGCATATTTCATACTTCTTATAATAACCTGAAAGTGTCAGCTCAAAAGGATATTTTCGCCTCACGATAATTAGGCTAGAAAAAATATTCCAGTTTCACAGTACGAGCAGAAAATCTAGTGTTCTTGTGAGTTGATTATATTGAGAAGAAAACATCCGTTTGCAGTAAAACTTTTAAAATATTCTAAAGGCCGTTAGATCTACACATGCGCAGAACTTTGGGTCGAAATTCGTTCATTTACCAAGAGAACATCGTTGTTAGATTTGGGATTTCAAATCCAAACGGTCCGCCGTTTTTCCCTTTGAATGGGTGAAACAAGGCGCTGTGTAACATTGAGGGAACCGCTCCTCCTAGCGGCATAAATAGAAAATAGTCCGAAGAAGGGACCAATCCCCTCGTCGGCTCCAGATAGGGAAGCTCGAACCTGCTCTGGAAAGGGGCTCAAAGTTCCGTAGAGAGAGGAGCGTCTCAAGTCTTCATCGAAGAGGAGGCTGAGCTCCATCTGGTTGCGTCTATTACCTTCTCTCCGTTTGTCGAACGAAAATCTTTAGTTTTTGGTTTCTGAGCGTTTCTATTGATTCTATATCCCTGAAGTGCCTTCCATCTACTAAGTATATTTCGAGTATTGAAATCGGTCTGTCAATGTCGTAAAGCTCGAAAACATGAAAAATTCAAGTTTGTTTTTCGTTTTTTAGACAGTTTAAAAATCAATTTGTCTTCAATTATTTTCACTTTTTGAAGTACACATAACTCTCGGATTTAAATCCGAGGTTTCCACATTTATTTTAAGATAATTCATATCTATCAAAGTATTAATAGAAAGAATCTTGTTTTCTTTTTTTCTATTATCAAACAGCAGTTTTTATTTTAATTAAAATCACAGTCAAAATACAATTAAACTGTGTTTTATGTTTAAAATAACACCTAACAGAGATAGAAGAAAAAAAAAGAATGAGAATTTTTTTTACAGTTGTCAAACTAATAACGGAGTATAGTTTTGATCATCATATTTGATGTATAATAAATAAAACACGGGTCAAGCAACTTACAACAAAAAAGAAAAACAAACTTTAGAATGTTCTACTGTTAGTTAATGATAAATAAGACTGCTATAAACATAAGACGAGAGAGAAAACTCGGCAAAAGACAAATGACATAAAAAGAAAACAAAACAAGATAACATACACACAGACACACATACAACAAAACACTATAATTTGTTTTCATGTGCTGAAAATATGAAATAAACACAATCATGAACTATCACATAAGAGCTGGATAGAGTAATTTACGAAGACTATTATGAATCAATTGTTCCACTGTTTGTTGATTAATAACAACATTTAATGTTGTTGTTGTTGTTGTAGTTGTTGGTGTTGATGGCATTGTTAATGGCATAGATGATGGTGATAAAGCTATTTGTTGTTGTTGCTGTGATAGTTGTTGTTGTTGTTGCTGTTGTTGTTGTAGTTGCTGTTGTAGTTGTTGTTGTTGACAATAATAGCAATGTTCATGAGTGATAGCTTGGGCTTCTACTGGTGGTATCTGAGATAATCTAAATGAAAATTTCATATTAATTTTTTTTATTAAGTTTAATAAAAAATATATTTTATTTTTACTTCGCCTGTATTGAATGATGTATACGTGATGATACTGATTTTGATTGATTTTTTTTAACATGTTTAAGTCGTTGACGACGATTAGCAAACCATGAACGACATTGTTGTGCTGTTATATTTCCTTCTGTTATAAAACGTTTTTTATCTGGTGAACGTGGATAAGGATCATCTAAGTTGGCATTATACCTTAATAAAAATCAAAGAAAAAATTAATTAATAAAACAATTTTATTTTATTTATTAACCATTCTTGCATTAATTTAACCGCATGATCAGGTAATTTATGATAACATTGCGAACGTGATGAAGAAGAACGCGATACAAGTGGTGTTGGTAAACAAGACATAGGTCGTTCATTAATAACTAATGATAAATGTGCTCGAGACTAAAAAAGTATATAAAATAAAGAAAAAATCAAATAATCTTATCACTTACAGGTGGTTCAATATGATCTCTATCATTCATTGTTTTATCCGGAATATTAATATTAATATGTACTGGTTCTATGATTCCATATTGTTGTTGTTGTATAGGTTGAGAATGTACTTGCTGTTGTTGTTGTATAGGTTGTGAATGTCCTTGCTGCTGTTGTATGGGTTGTGAATGTGCCTGTTGTTGTTGATGATAATAATGATACTGTTGTTGTTGTTGTTGATTTAAACCATTAAAAAAATGTTCAATTTCAAAATAAATTTCATCATCATGTGGTGTTGTTACTATAGACGATCGATTACTTGGTGCAACAGCATCATCTTGTTGTGATAACCATATTGGTGAAAGTGGACTATTTGTTGTTGGTGGTGGTGCTGATTGAAATGCTGTCCAATCCAAATCACTATGTGTACTATTTGTATCATTTGTTAAAGTAGAATCAGTATTAAAATCAAAAATAAACGAATCCATTACTAAAATTAAAAGATAAAATGTATTAAATGATGAATAAACAAAAGAAAAAGAAAGGAAATTTACTTTTACGTACGACGTGTGTTATTATTCACTATCCGTATACATACATTCTAGTTGTGGTTATCCAGTTTTTTCTTCTCGTCACATGTGATATACATATGGAAGAAATTCTTTGATCATCTATATATTTTTTTTCTGTCAAATATATACTAGAAGGAGGCACTTTCACTTACTTTCACTCTATATACTGATCTAGGTATTTATAATTCGAAGTAAAACGTTATAGATAAAGTTCGAGAAGCAAAAAGAACGAGAGTGAATGACGCATTTAGTTTACGTAACGAAATGGTTTGAAAGAACAGGTATTTAGAGATGTTAAATTTCATTGACATGATAGATAGACTCATTTATTATATATACAATTAATTTTAATATAATTTAAAATTTTTTGTTCAATACTTATATAAACAATTTGAGTTAAAAGAACGAACAATGCAAAAGCTCTGAGTAAAACTTCACTTTTATTTATTTTACAAAAAAAAATTGAAATTCAAAGAACGCAATAGACCATATACGTTGTAACAAATAATTCCTATAATTAATTAAAAAAGAAGATCGGATTTAAATACATATGAACACTTGGTTCAATTTTGATGATATATTAAAAATTGTTTCTTATAAAAATTTAATGATGTCCCGATATTGATATATAATTTAAGAGAAAAACAAATATTTAACATTGAACGCTTCAGATCAGATATAACGATTTTTTATCAAGAAAAAATTCATGTAATTGTACAGTTAAAATTTCTTATTCATCATAACGTTAATAAAATCTAAATGCCCTCAAAACTATTACATCAATGAACGAATTTAAACTTTTGTGAGATGACTCTCTGAACTATTTAATTGATACTTTTTTTCACTGCGAAATAAAATACTGTTTTCTTCTCATCATTTCTTTCTTTCTTTTTGAAGAGATTTCTCTCTACTTTGTTTGCTATTATCGGTATTTAAAAGACGACATTCTTCTTTTTTTCATACTTATAAAAAGAGTGCACCCTTTTATTGTTTTTCTTTCTTTTTTTTGACAAAAAAAAACAGTTCAGAAGACGCGTGTATTTTTATCGTGTCAAGCACTTTTTCTTCATCGCAACGCATTTGATTGTTAATCTATATTGTTTCTTTTAAACTTGGTAAATATAGAATGTATTAGAAGCAACAAACATCTATTGAAACGAAATTATTGACACCCTTTTTTCTCAATTTGTCTACTGAAAAGCATACATTTAAATTAAACTAAAGCATGAATACGTAAGTATAAATATCTCTTATCTTCTCAAATATAGTAACTATTAATTAATGAGAGAATGAAGCAAAAAGGACACTTATCGAAGGGCGGATCAAAAGTCAAAGTGCATAACAACAGATTTGTAGTGAAGAAACAAATTGAGATCGTTTCAATACCGAGATTAATGAAATTATTGTGTATTTTATACTCGAAGAAGATGCCATTGAATTTACACTAGAAAATTTAAAGTTCATAATGAATGATATACAAATCGAAAGTGGTACTTTAAATATTTATGCAAAAATTTCGATTTCATTTTTTTTCTGTTAAGGAAGAAACAGTCAAACTTGATTAAAAGTTTCATTTCAACTAGAATAGTTTTTTTTGTTTAGTAAGAAGAAAAGTGGTACTAGTCGTTTACCAAGTATGTATTATCAAACACTTCTTAAATCTGAATTTGACTATCGACGTGATATGCGTCGTAAATTAAATCAAATTCAAATTGATAATCGTGATGCAGCACGTCGTCGGAATGCTACTGATCATGTTTTTGCTCATGGTCTTTTAACAAAACGTCATCAATGGTTTAATATTGATAAAGCATATCGAGATACATGTCGAACATTATGGAATCGAAAACAAGTAGAAACTGGTCGAACAAGTCATATATTTTTACCAAGTATTTATCCAGCTGATGATACATCATTAGTAGCCGAACCTTCATCAAATCGTACAAAAAGTATTTCAAATGAAAGTCCAGTTATAGCGAATGAAAGAATAAAACAAAATTTTCTACGTTTACAACCCGTTATGTTAGAAATTATACATGCACCACATTCATCCGATGTATTCAGAAAGAAACAAAATATAGAATCAAGAAAACGAAGTGCTTATAAACGACAAGCTACTTTACAAAAAGCAGCAACAACTGATGATCGTTATACACATTTAATTGATTCATTGGAAGAACATTAAAATATTTATTTTTCAATATATATTATATTTGGTGATATATGTAAAAATTAAAAATAAAAGATATTTTTGACAAAAAAAAAAGTTTTAAGTACACTTAAAGACAAGATTCAACACGTAAGAAACATTTTTAGTGAAATAGGAAAATTATGATATAAAATTTGAACTTTAGTCAAAATAATAATATTTTTTCTTTCTTAAGGAAATATAAAATAAAATTTTATGTTTTCTCCTGTGTAAATAACAAAACAAATGCATGATTGAGAACCGATGTTGAGTACACTAATGGAATTTTTACAAGTATTTCATCATCAAAACAACAGTATTTTTTTATAGAAAACAAGTCAATATTACCTGAGACAACTGTCTCTGTTTATTCATAAGAGTCCTCCGTCATTCTATTCTTTCTTACTAACGCATTTGAGTATATAGATTTTCTTTTGATATTATCCTATAAGACAACTTATTCGAAGATCGAATCATTCGATATAATACACAACATGATTAAACGAAAAAAATTCTGTATGAAATAGTTTTATGTATAGCGACATTCTTTTACTTATCGTATATGTATAGTAATATCAATTGGGATTTTGTACGAAAGTGATCAGGCTATTCAAATATAATAATTTGAACGAAGAAATCGAGATAAAAATTTTTTCATAAGTTTTAATAGATAAAAAAATCGCAAAAGAAAGTTTTACTCTCACACAAAACGCACACAAGCTAGTTTCTGTTTCAATGCAATGCGAAGAAAAAAACAAAGTATAATAGAAAAGAAAAAACAACAACAACAACAACAAGAACAGCAAAAACACATGGAGTTTAAACAAACAAATGTCAAAACTGATGTTTGTATCTGTGCGATGTTACTTTGAGAGTATGTCTCTTTTTTTTTCTCTCTCGTTTTATAACCAAAATCTTGTAATACGATCAACATTTGCTTTTTTTGGACTTGTTGAAGAATTAGGTGTAGGTGTTGGTGTCGGAGGAGCTATGGGTGTTGAAGGTAATTGAGGTAAACCAGCTGCAGCCATCATTGTTGTCATTAAATGTTGTTGCATCATAAACATCATCATTGAAGCAGCCATTGGATTAAACAAAGCAGGATTTGGACCTGGAAATACATTAGTAAAATCTGGTAATGGTGCTGGTGTTGCTATGTTATTATGATTAATAATATAATTATAGTTCGTTTGCGGACGACGAGTTTGTGTTGTTGTTGCTGCTGCTGCTGCTGTTGTTGATGATGGTGTTGATATTGGTGGTGGAACTTGATTTTGTGTTGGACGAATTGAAGATGAATTTCGAGACTAAATTCCAAATAATCAATAAAATAAAAAAAAACATTTTGATTTAATTTCTTTTTACTTTTCGAGAACGATAAAGTGGTTTATAACACATTTGACTTCGTACACGTTTATTTGCAAACCATTTTTTAACTTGTTTTTGTGTAATACCTACTCATATTTATATTCATATGTATATATAATAATGAAAATGAATTGTTTACCTGCTTCTCGAGCTAAACGATCAGTTCGTTCATCATCAGGATATGGATAATCACGATTTGATTGAAACCAATGATTAAGTACTGCAACAGCTCGACTACCAAGAAATCTATTATGAAATTTAAGTTAGAAAAAAAAATTTCAATTTTTGTCTTTTAAATTTTTCTTCACCTTGTATTTCGACATTCTTTATCATCAACAGGTGAATGTGAACGTTCTTGATTAGTTGGTGATGAACATGTACTACTACTTGTGCTCGGATGACGTACATGAGAATGTATTTGTTGAGGTCGTAATGGTGTACTATGATAATGATGACGATTTCGTTCTATTAACAAAATGAACAATGTATCCTCAGGTGTTTAATTGTTCACAAAAAAAAAAAGGTGTAGAAAAAAAATTGAAAATGAGCAATTTGTTCGACTCTATTGTTTAGATAGGAAAAAAAATGATTGTTTTTTTCATTAAGTTTCAAACGATATATATGTATTGAATACACTCATGTCTTAAAAATCAACAATCTACTCATATTTTACCTTGTTTAACCATAGTTAAATCATTATTCTCATCACTAGTATCAACAAAACCACTATCATAAGTTGTTTTCTAAATGAAAATTTTGTATTGAATAAAATAAGAAAAGATCGATGAATTACTTTTATAATAAAATCACTTGTTTCTTGTATATTATCATTATGTTGTTCATCGTCACTATGAAGATATTCATCATCATCTTCATTATCAATTGATGGTGATAATAAATGTTGTGGACGATTTGTTAAATCTAATGCATCAGGATCTTGTTTAATTGTATATTTCATACGATTCATTCCTTTTTTTTGTTGTTCTATAAATGACGTAAGGATATGATTTTAAACAATCTTGAAATAGAAGAGAAATGAGAGAAATTGTTCAATTGGTCAATATTTAAAATGAGAAATGATTTGTATTGGAAGTTGATGAAAAATCATAATTGATATAACATCAATTATGTCTTAATGATTTTTACCTGAAATATATGTCAATATCGGCTGACTGAAATATCAAAACAGCTGATGAGAAGAATGAAGAAAACAAAGAGATATTGTTAGTATATATGATATATTCGAAAGAGAGGAAAAATAAACGAAGAAGAAAAAGCATAAACAAGACCCTAGTTGGATATGATGCTCACGACACACGTGCCTCTCGATTTCGATTTATAACTATAACGAACTAGATCATGTATGTGGTTATATCTCATGATTTTTCTTTCTATAGATCGATATGTATAGTTTATATATTTTTCATTTCTGTTTTTCGTTATCTTCATGCTCAGTTTGATCGTATTAAACGATATATTATATGAGATAGAATTATGAATCATCGATAAATAGAAAAAAAAGAAGAAGAGGAAATCTTATATATATTTTATTTCTATCTAGTCTTGTTTATTATGAATAAATTCAAAAGAATCGTATAGATTTCGAGTATCGTAAATTGATGTTTTGTATACAAAATTGAAGAGTCTATCTTATGAAACTATCTGTATATATGAGCAAATTAAAATGAATGTCGGTATTTATATTCACCAACCAATAAGTATCGATTAAAATGTGATTGTAACGAACTTGATTATTTTTCAGAAATAAAGTCGTTATACTCAATAATTGTACATTGAAGATTACTTTAATATAAAATACAATAAGATCAGGGATGTCGTATTGATATGAAAAAAGTACACAATAAAAAATACTGTTATTTCATATTGTCTTTCCAAATATATCTTTATTTTAAATTTAAAACTGAATAAAAAGCTACATATAAATTCAAATGTATGATTCGTTTGAGTTGTCTAGATCTACAAAGTTCGAAAAAGATTATTTGTTTTTTTTGTCATTATGATCTTTTCTTTCCGTTTCGGATATTCATTCTAATGATGTGTTGATCATTTTTTGCTTTTTCTTATTTAATTTTGTCACTTTTTCTGATGCTTAATTTCTCGCAATCATATGTTAAATTTGTTTTCAATTAACCTCACAAGAATATTCTTGTTCGTTTGATCAATTTTTTGTAAAATCTTATACAATATATATTGATTGATGAATTGAAAACATATGGCTGGTTAAATTAGTAATCAAAGAATCGTCACAATGAAATATAAAGTAACGAGCTGATTTTGTTCATGTGATAGATATTGATTTAAATCCGTAACTTCAGTTATAATTTGAGTGTAGAGAATTTTTATTGGTGCATATATCATTTATAACGAATTTGTGTAGTATAAATTAATTGGTGGATTTTTCATATAGGAGAATCTCTATGAAGTTATACTCGAGAAATATTGTATAAAATAACAACTCGGTTAAGTATTGCATATATCTCTTATATGAATAGTTCATTTTTAAGCAGAAAAATAAAATGATTGTCACGTGGCTCTTATGGCTTGATGATATTTATTATCTAAGATCGTATAACAATGAATTTTCTGAGGAATTGCAAGGCATTATAGAATTATTTTATTATGCTTTTTGTAGATTGATAATAAAAGATTTATTCAGATATTCTTTTAATTTCGTGGATGTCATATTATATCTTGATTGTTAATTTCGTAATAGTTTCAGTTGCTAAAATACTCTTGAACTTACTTTGGATAGATATCGTTAGAATTTACTAGAAATAGTCGAGAAATCATGTTAACTTAGATGATGATAGTTGTCACATAGAATACATATCTTGTTTAGATTTATTTTGAAAAAAGTGAAGTTCTTACTTTGTTAGTGACATTATGCATGGATACTATCATCTCAACTACAATTTTTAAGATATTAATAAAACTGACTACTGATTAAGATAATACTTTGATTATTTAACGATGCGTATATGTATGACAGAAAATTTTTATTCTAAAATTCTAACATCAACAATTTAAAAATATTAACAAAATCATCTGATATACTAGTAGTTAAGAATCTAGGGTAAGAGTGAATTTGATTATTGTCATTCATTGTCAGTCAAACATATACAAAAACGGCATGTTGGTATTTTTTAATATTTCTTTGTTCATAAGTCTTCGTTACTAATTAATATTTTAATATAACAAAAGAAGCAATTTTTTAAAATTCATTTTATTTTTCAAATCGAAAAACAATTATTTGAAAAAAAAGAAGTTTATTGATGTATATATAGAACTGTTTATTTACGAAAAAATTATCACAATAATAATAATAATAATGGATAACTACATATAAAAATTGATTGTCAATGATTTGTATAAAAAATTTTTAAAGAGTATCAACGTTTTCATATGTATGATCATATTCTTGATTGTCATCATTATTACCCTCACGTTGAAAACTACCATCACGTAATAATGTTTCTCGTGGTAAATTACTACGAACGCCGGAGTTTTCTCGTGTTAAACTATTACGAACGGTGGAGTTTTCTCGTGTTAAATTATTACGATCGGAGGAGCTTTGTTGTATTAAACTACTACGATTCGAACTATTTCGAACAGTATAACCTGGAGTTGTATAATCTTGTCCAGAATTATCGCGGAATGAACTATTATAATCTGTTTCATCACGAAGTGTATTATCTGCTGTTGAACTTTCTTGGCCTGAAACATCATGTGTTGCTGCATTTCTAAAAGTACTTGAAGACGATTGATAAGCACTTGGTGTAGCCGATGATCGGTTAACAAGATTACTAATAGTGGGACCTGAACCGGAACCTCCATTATTTGAACCAGTTGAGTTAATAACAGTGCGTGAAATTGTTGTTGAGCCACCACCAGCATCACCGCCATAACTACTGCCAACACCACCACCATAACTACTGCCAGCACCACCACCAGCACCACCGCCATAACTACTGCCGGCACCACCACCACCACCATAACTACTGCCAGCACCGCCACCATAACTACTGCCAGCACCACCACCATAACCACCACCAGCACCACCACCAAAACCATAACTACCACCACCATAACCACCAGCACCACCGCCATAACTACTGCCAGCACCACCGCCATAACTACCACCACCACCACCACCACCACCACCACCACCGAAGCGATTATTTTTTTGAAATGCATTGGCATTAGATTTTACAAGTGCTTGTTGTTCAGCATCTTGTACAACTCGATCAACACATACTCGAAGACCGTCCGGACCTATGAAATAGTTTATAAAAAAAAATAAAAAGAAAACGATGCTTAATCAAATAATTTACCTTCAAGATATTTTCTATACGTATTAATTTCTTTTTCAAGTGATGTTTTGAATTCCATAACTGTTGTATATTCTTGTTCAGCTTGTTGTAAACGACGTCGAGCGTCATCGAGAGCACGTTCACCTTTAGCTCTTGCATCAGCATCTAGACAATACAGAAAAATAATTTATATAAATTTCTTTTGTTTTCATTGATTTAGTTACCTCCATCTTGTATGTCTTTGAGGTTTTGTCGTAAATTAGTAATAGAATTTTGTATTGCTTGAATTTTAGCACGAAGATGAGCATTTTGATTTTGTGCTTGTAATAATTCATTACGTACATGTTCAACTTGTACTTGTTGTTGAACAGAGAATACTGAATTTGAAGCAGGTGATTGAGTACGAATTGTAGTTTCATTAACAAAGAGAAAATAACGATTTTGTAAATCATTTCTTCGATTTTCCATAGCTGTTTCATAATCATTACGAATTTCTCGGATTGATTGTGCTAATTCATTACGAAAAAATTGTGATGGATCAAGATCATTTGATACACTTTGAGAACGAAGTTCAGCTAAATCAGCTTCATCTATATAATTATAAAATATCTAGATTAAGATTTCTTTTAAAAAAAAATGAAACTTACGTAAATGTTTAAGATTAGCTAAATCATCTTCCAAAGAAAGTTTTTCAACTTCACATGAAGCTTTAATAAATAATTCATTTTGAATTTCATTTTGAAGACGAGCTATTTCAGATGATATACGTTGAGTTTCAGCTTTATAACGTCGAGATTCATCTTCAAGATCAGCCATACGACGACGAAATAAATTTATTTGCTACAAAATAGATTCATATCCATAGTAAATTTTGTCTTTTTAAAATTTTAAATCAAATCATTGACTTACAGCTTCATTTTCAGCTATTCTTTGTTGAAGAGCATCGATTTCACGTCGATCCGTTTGCTGTAATGCAGTTACTTCATTTCGTCGTGCTTCTTGACGTTTTACTTCTTGTTCAAGTTGTGCTGCTTTAGCTTTAGCAGCAGCACCATCACGTTTTGTATCATCAATAAGTTTATTTGCTTCAGCCATTTCAATATCATACATTTCTTTAATACGTGATGAACCTCTATAAAAGAAATTCTTTATATTGTAATATTTCATTGTTTGTTTTTTGATTACTCACTGTCCTGAACGACTTCGTAAAACTTCCAATTCCATGTTTAATTTTCGATTATGTGCTTCTAAAAATCGCACTTTTTCTACATATTGTGCAAATTTATCATTTAAAACTTCTAAATCCCGTTTATCACGTTGTCGAGCATTATTAATGCTTACAATGGCTGTATTGCCACCAAGTCCACCGCCACCACCACGTGTGGGTACACCAGAAAAATGTGCTAAAGAAGCAAGACCTTGTCCAAAGCCATTACCACTACCTGTTTGTAAATAACTTTGAAACATTCTTGTACTACTACCACTAGAACCACCTAAACCTGTTGGACGTGATCGAACATTTGTTACACGTGGACTAACTGCTGATCGATATGTTGTTGTTGATGTTGATGTTGAATTAAAACTAGCATCATTATCTCGATCGAAATCCCGTGATATTCTTTCGTTTCGTTGTTCGTACTGACTACGCATTTTCGATGAATTCACAAGAAAAAATGTAACTTTACAAGGTTAGATAGATGATATTTCACCACTTTATATTCACCGTTAGTTTATAACAACTACCATTATCACACATATTTCGTTCTTACTTTTATTCTCTACTTAAAAATGCCTTTTATTATCAAATAAAAGAAGATTTCTTTTTTCCTTGATAACATACTTAAAAAAACAACTTCTTCTCTATGAAAAAAGTGGTTACTTTGTGGTTCTTTGGCAAATATATGTCCATCAACTCATACTATCTCTATTGACAAAAGAAGAGGTGTTTTAACGATAACAAAAAAAGCCACTTTTAGAATGAATAATAGACAATTTTATCATTTAATAATAGAAAAAATGAAATTTTTTAAAGCATACTTTTTTTTGTACTACTATTGGGTACAGAATCAAATACTAATTTGATTTGAATAGACTAATCATTCATTACAAACGATGCATAATTAATTATTTTATATCCGGTCATGCTATATTATCTAAATTAGATGCATCAATTTTGAAAAAACCTGACAATTCCAACTGATTAACTTCTTTTCTATTTTTCATAGGAAAATAAAAGTCCAAAAACTAAAATTTTTTTATTGAAAATAAAAACAAAAAAACACATTATCAATGAGGATGATCTGTACAATTAACAATTTCAAGAATAGATTCATCATAACATGACCATGGCGTTCTTTCATCAAATAATTTTGTTCGAACGGTTTTTGAATAAAAAAACCATGTATAAATATTAATACCAATAACAGTAAGAAAAAATATTAGAAAAACTAATCGATTATAAATATGTATAGCATATAAACTTTCTTTATTTTTTATTTCGGTATGACTATGTACTGGTTTAGTTGAACGAGATTGTACCGATGTTTTAGAAATACGACTTGTTCGTTTAAACATTGGTCCATTTGTTGATGAAGATAATGGAAGATTTGTTGATCGTCGTGGAACCCATACTGATGAAGGTGAATTTGTCATTGGACATAATGTATCTTTTGTAGGAGATGTATGTAATTGAGTAGTTGCTACCGGTTGAGCTACGTGTTCAAGGTGTGATCTTGGTGGACTTCTCGGTACAAGAAGTGGAAGTTTGGGTGAACCTTCAGCTGATAAAGAATCTGGTTCGAAATAATAACTATCAGAATATTCCATCTGATTTACTCCTGTTAATTGTTGTAATGGAATTGTAACTGGAGTTGATGGTGTCATAGGAGATGTTTTTGATTGTTCTTGTTTAACAGCTCGTACTGCTTTTCGATGCATACTTGTCGCACATACAATCCAACATATGTAATCAAGTGCTAACCATCGTAAAAAATATGGTAAACGTTTCTTTTCGCGTAATTTATTTACAAGTGCAAACCAAGTCATAGCTGCTAGCGAGAAGAGCATACAGATAGTTAAATAAAGACTGATTAAATGTACACTATCACTTTGAGATGGTACATCTTCGGATAAACGTAAACTGAACACTGAATAAGCTAACATAATACTAATACCTATTTGCATTTCTTGGGCAAAAGGAATCTAAATATGAAATGAATTATTTATTTATTTTTTTGCTTAAAAAATATTATACTTACAAAAAATGAAACAAGTGTTAAAGTAGTTAACATTAATGCCGGTACAACAGTATTATAAATAGCTTGTAAAGGTTTACGTACAATTAAAATTGTAAAATTAACTTCAAAAAATGTATCTGGTTCAACCCAATTCGGATAGTCAACTGTTTTAATTGATTGTGTTACAGCTAATAATTTCCATTCATTATTTGGTGTATATTGTGGTACTTCAGGTTTATTTTCCCAGAATTGATAATGAATTAAAGAACTCGTATGACTCCATGAACCGAAGATCATATCACACATTTGTTCATCTAGACATATGACAAATAAATAATGATGTCGTAAGGAAATATTTAAAATTCTTTTTATTTGTCCTCTAGGCTAACAGTGACGTTTTATATTTATTTATCATTAATATTAGTTAGTTCTTTGGAGAAAAAAAATAACAATTTCCTTTCAATCTATGTAATAATGAACATCATTTCTTCGACATCTATATGAAGTATTTGTTATTAGACTTGTCATGTTATTCTTTTTTCTTTTAAGTTATGAATACTGATGAATAAAGGATTAATTCAGTGTGTCTCATATGACATAACAAATGTAGATAAAGAAAAAAAAAAGTCTTAATTAGATGTAATTTATGTATATGTATGATTATTACAGTTTTAAGGCCATGTAGTGTTGTCATGCAAAGAATTATATATTCGTTTAATAATAAACTCAGTACAAATTGACTATTCTCATTTGTTTGTTTTTTTTTGTATTTTAAAAATAATTACCGAAAGGAAAGTGTTTAATCGTCATTCGACAACGTGTACGTAATTGTGCAAGAGGTAATGGCCAAAAAACAGTTCCATTATAACTAACAATCATATTTTGTGTATCTTGTGGAAGAAGAAATCCAGCATTATCAGCAGTATTATATAAAAATGTATCCGGATACCTATAGGAAAATTTTTCAAAAAACAAAAATGTAATAATTCATTGGTGTTTTTTTATCAATGTTATGATACCAAAGAGATGTTGCTGACATTCGTATCCAAGTAATATTTTTATAGTCGAATGGATTCCAAATAAGACGAGGATCTAGGAAAAAATCGATATAGATTTATATGAATAGTACAATAATAAAAGAAAATATACCTGTCCATTTTTGATCAACAAAACAATTTGTAACAATAATTTGTTCTTTTTCTACCATTGATATAATTTGATTGAATACAACACGAATATCAACAATAACTTTATTTGATGGACGAACTTTTCTCAAATAAGTTGATTCATTTAGAAGTACACGTATTAAACGTGTTTCTTCAGCTGATAAATTTGAATCAATCGAACTATAAATTGTTAATGGAAACAATAGATATATATAACAATAAAAACAAAGAAATCGATCGATTATCATTTTTTTTTCCAATTATCATTGACAATCAATTTGCATAATTATTTCTTGAAAAAATATTGTTCATGTTTAGTCCATAGATTATTTGATTGTTCTTTGACGTCTTCTGGGGTTGATCTTGTACTTCAAACCTCTAATATACAATAGAAAATTACACTACTAATAGCAATTACTATAATTTTATTACGAAGATTTAATGTGGTTTTTCAATTTACTAGTAATTTGTATTTATCTCTGTCTGTATATATATATATACGATTGTTTGCTAAACGACAATAGGCGTAGCATTCGGAGAAGATGAGATAAATCAATTGAATTGCCTATAAGAATGATAGTTAAGGGAGAAAAAAAATAGAGAATGATGTTACGATAGTAATCAGACAGATACAAAAGAAGGAACGTAATAGTCGTAGGAGAGAGTAAATCAAATGATATAAATGAAGTGAAGCAAAATGAATTACATATGTTTGAATAAATTGCTTCCTACTGAGTAAAACAAAGAGCAAATCAAAAAGTACAAGTGTCATATATAACTTTCATATAATTATTTCCTGATATAGCATGTTTACAAACATAAACCTTATAGAAAACATATATAGAAGTTAGGAAGTATATAGATATGAATAAATCATATCATTAGTAGGAAGGAAAAAAGACAGATGATTACAAACACTTGTTAACATTTCAAAAATAAGATTAAAGAAATCTGCGCGTTTCATCGAACTTTTTTTTTGTCTAAGACTAACTATGAATTGTTGTTTATATATATTAACAAGTTCACACTTAAATTAAATAGCTGCTGAATTGTTAATGATTACGAATGAAGAAAGTATATATCATCAGAGAATTATTATAATAAGATGATTAAGATTTCTAGATAATCTATTCGCAATATTTAAATTACCTGTAACTATAAAAGTTTGTTTGTATAAATTATAATATAATTAAAGAAATGAACGTTTTATGGTGTAAGCTTTCGTTTATTCTGTGCGTTTGTATCTGTCGTTAATATAGCCACTATTGAAATACGAGCCGGAAATAGGCTGAGGCACGGGATCGTCCTATGGCACTGATTCATTTTTATTGATGACTTTATTTAGGTAATCTGGGAAATAAGAGAAAAAGAGAGAAAAAAAGCAAATTCCTTCCTTTTTCCTGATGTTGACGAAATTCTTCTTTTTTTTTTCTTCTCCTTTTTCTTTCCTAGTTCTATCCAAGTAATCATTGTTCTTTTACGATTAAAAACAGGCGAACAAAACATTAATAAGGAAAACTAGAAGAAGAAGAAGAAAGAAGAAGAAGAAGAAATTGAGAAAAAGAAAGCTTTTGAAGAGAACATTAAGGTGATGTCAATTGAACACAATTATTGCCATATAAATATTGACATAAGTAGAAGAAACAGGAAATCATTACAAAATTCATTTTTTTTCTTTTCTTAATTTGCTAATATTATTCCACTCAAGTTTTATAACTAATCATCAACAGAATCAACACTTCAATTTTCTTTCTTTTTTTTTTTTGCTTTAATCCTTTTCTTATAGATATAAAAAAAGAAAAAGAGAAAGAATAATTTATCAAAAAAAAGTCATTATAAGTGTTATCAAAGACAACATCTTGATATTGTTATTTCTTATAGAAGAACAAAAGATGATGTGCAAGGTTTTCTACTATCTAAGATTGACTTTTATATAGATATATCTATACAAACACGTATTATGAATGATTGTATTAGTTTCATATATTGACAAAGTTCATGATGTATCGACAGTAAGCATAAAAGTAATAATGAATAATTGATTAAAAACACACACAGAGATAATATATATGTTATTTTTTTTTGAAAAAAACAAAAAAACATTTCCTTTGGCATAACACTCGTACGAAAAATTTTTCCAGTCGATGTACTCTCGACTGCGTACATAATTTATTAATAACTGTTTACATAAATATATATGTACGATTTGATAGAGATTCATAACATCATTTATTATCTATCATAGAAAAATAAAAAAAGAGATAAAAACATTTTGATTAATTATTTTTTTTTCTTCCGTTTATTAACTAGTATCTAAATATCCACGTAAAAGTGGTTTTAATTTCTCTTTTAAATCATTCGATGATGATGATGCTACATGAGCATCAATTAATAATGGTATATGACATGGTAATACTCGACCATACCATGTGCCCGATGGATAAACAATAACATTACCAGCAAATCTATGTCCACCTAAATATAAACAGAAGATTTTTTTGATTGTTTTTATTTGTAATACATAGAAAACTTATAAAAGAACAACAACAAGAAGAAGAGGACATACTTATAAATAGTTCTTTATCATTGATGAACTTACCGATATGACTTATTTTTAAACAATGTACATTATCAACACGATCAGTTTTTTGAATATATTTTTCTATTTCATCAACCAAAATTGGTCCAATTACTCCTAAAAATAGAACCCATTATTTATTTAAATTATTGAACTAATAGAGACAATTGGATAATTATATTGAAATGACATTTAAAGAGACCCTGGAAGAACTCTTCTAGTACAATCGAACACATTTGTCAACTTTTTTATGTCATCAAAGAAAGTTAATTTCCTGACAGTAGTTTTTATTAGACGAAGATTGTTTATTATATTAAAACTTTGCTTGTGAAGATCCGACATTGAAAAAATTTGTTTCAATTTATCATTGAAACTCCGGATATTAATTTTACAGTAGTTAGATTTTCTTAAATAAAATCTATTTGACATACCGCATCGGTGATCACGTTGATTATGACAACAGACAAGTACCCAAAGACCCTGCAGTCTTTCACATGTAATCTGTTCAGAAAATACAGGTAGATTATTATTTTCTTCAAGTTGTTGTTCAATTGTTTTTGTTTTATGTTTTATTTTAATAATTGATTGATCTTTAATAAATAATTTATCAATGATTGGTTCAATTTGTTTCATAGTTACATTATTTATTTTAATTCGATCTGGAAATAAATACCAATCAGCTGTTTGTTTCAAATCATTGCTCGACTCTACGACTGCTGATGTTAATTTAACAGGATAACCAATATCAGATTGTTTTTCTGTTATTATTCTTTCTAATTCATTTATATAACCATCTTGTAAATTTTTAATATGTTTTGGCCATTGAGTATGTGAAAATGGTTGTCCAATACATAAATGACGACGATGTTTTTCAACGGAATTATTCATATTACTCTGATCAATTTCTTTGACAATTTCCGGTGGATAAGTCACATGTGTTGTACAAGGTATTTCACAACCAGTACATGGATCAAAACGTGTTGTAACTATCAAAACAAAAGCAAATGAAGATTTTCTTTTTTCTTTTCAATAATAATCATTTACTATATACCCGTTGATAAGAATCTTTGCAGATGTAGGATGCATTTTTTATTAGGATTTAATCTCAAATAAATGAACATTAATCTAAAAATTAACAAAATACTTTAGTTTTGTATATTTTGTAATGAATTAATAAAACTATTTATTAGTTTTCATTACAATTCCATTAAAAGTATTTTGAAACCATAGAATAGCTTCTTCTTTTGTAACACGATTATCCGTTCCTGATTTTCCACAAATAACAACAAAATTCATTCCAAATATTCCAATATTTGGATCATATTTCATTCCATCTAAATCAATATGTTCATCAATACCAAAACAAAATGTTCCTTCTTCGCTAAAACATTTCGATGGTAGCCGATATTCTTTTATTCGAAGTGCACGTTCAAGTAAATCATTTGCTAATGTATTACGTACTGAACAAAAAACACTTATTTCTTCATTACGTTGAATACCAAAAGAACGAATAGTTCGTTGTGCATGACCAACAGATGGTTTTTGTCCTGTTAATTCTTCTAAAATTTTTGATGCACGAGTTAATCGATCACCTGATTCACCTACACATATATTTAAGGACAATTTTTTTAATGTAACCATCTAAAATTTATTAATATTAAATCATTTTTTTTCAAAAAATTTCTACATGATCAATTTTATTATCAGTGAAAAGAACATTTTTTTTGTTAATAACAAAGTACTCAATAATACGAGCACTATATATTTATATATTATCCTCAATGCTAGATATAAAAATAGATAATATTAATATGTTTTTTTTAACGCTTGAATGAAAAAATCCATTTTGAAAATTTCTTTAGGGATTTTTATATAAACATATCTGTTAGGTAGAAAAAATTGTCATTAGTCTTATTTGATTCAGGGTATATCTAATATTTATTGTTTTTTTTTTCAAAGTACGTAATAAAAATCAACATTTAATCGACTATTTGTATTCTTCGCCTGAAAAAAAACGAGATTATCATTTTTTTATGTTGATCTTAAGGCATATTTACGAACATTAGTGATTAAAAACTATCTACGAAGTTACAAAATATATCTCATACAAACTATTCATTCATTCACCTAGATAAATAAAAGCCTTCTTACTTCTATTGAATTTTTAGTAATAAGTATGTTATTAATAGCATGATTTACCTATCTATCCCTAGATTAAAGAACTATAATACCATGTGTTTATGTTTATTTTCAGCTATGAATCGATATAACCTGAAACTTTCATTTGTTATTCTCTTTTTAAACATGAATCTAAAGAATATGTATATATATATATAGGTATATACGATTAATAATTCATTCTTTTCTGTCTCCTTCTATTGTAATTGCATAAAAATAACCATATGAAATCATAAAAGAGAAAAAAAAACAAAGAAGAACAACAACAACAAATATACTACATCCACATTTCAAGAACAAGTTCATTTTTTTAATATGAATGAATGTAGAATAGACATGAATACACACAGATATATTGGTATTTTCTGTTTTTCAAATATGCATATACAAAGAGGAGACATATACACACACACAGAAAAGGCTCGAACAATGAAAAAAAAAAGAAAAGAAAAAAGAGAGGAAAATATACAATTAAGTTCTATGTTTTTTCTTCAATTAATTAAGTCAAGATGATGCTTTTGTCGATCGTTGGCTTATAAGTTTTTCTACTTCTTGTAATTTTTTTAAGATCTTCTGTTTTTCTTTCTTTTTAGCTAATATAAAAAATCAAATTATAATTTTTCTAATACAAAAAAAAAATACATACTAGAATCAGAATTTTCTGCATTACTTGCATCAGTTGATGATTTATGAGAATCCGCTAAAATAAAAAAGATTTCATTATGAATGAAGATATATATATATGTAAACATACTATTTAATTTTGTTTTTTTAGTTGCACCTGTCGATGATGAAGTATCACGTCGTTTCTTTTAAAGAAAAATTTCTTATTTTTCTAAACAAATTATTTTCAGTTACCTTAGATGATGTTGATGCTGATTCTTTTGTTTTCGATGATCCTCGAACTGTAGAATCAGTTTTTGATTTTGTACTTGTATTTTTACTACCAGCACCACCTGACGATGAAGATACTTGTCGACTAACTGATTTTGTTGAATGACTGCTACTACCAACTGATGCTTTAGTTCCACTTGAAGCTAAATAAAACAAAAAGAATATTATTATCGAGAAAAATATAACACACGTATGACATAACGAATTAAATCCCTTTGAATTCCTATTTTACATAATAGGATTAAAAACTACTTCAATACATAAATCTTTTTATGATTTCAGTTTTAGTGTCTAAATGATCAAATAGATCGTACCTGTTTTTGTTTTAGCTGATGTTCGTGTATCATTTTCTGAACTTGAACTATCCGATGATGAACTAGACGATCGATGTGTTACACGATTTGTATCGCTATCCGATGATGATGATGAACTAGTACTATCCGATCGACTTAATTATAAGAAGAAAACAATAACCGTTATAAGAACTTTATTTTTCAATTTTATACTTTATGTTTTCTTTTTTTAATTGTTTTTTTGTATTTATATCTGAATCTTTTCCGCGTTGATCTTTCGAATGATTATTAGTTGTTGAATTACTGCTAATACTACTTTTTTCTGCTTTTTTCAATGTATGACTTGATATTTGTCGACCAGGAAGAAATTTATTTGTCGTTGCTGATGGTGAGACTAATTTTTTATTTCCATTGGATTTTTTATCATTGCCATTCTTAGCCATTCTAAAATAAAATTCATTAGTAATCAATTATTGGATTTATATTTTTATTTAAAAAAATTAAATCAAAAAAAAGCGTTTAATACTCGGATGATTTTGTTGTTGGTGTTGATTTTGTTGCACGTGTTACAGAAGGTGAACGACGTTTTGGTCGACTTCTTGATCTCGATCTAAAGCGTAAGCAAAATAATAAAATAATATGCAAAATAGACAAATAATTCATGCAAGAACTAATAATTAGTTTGTATTAAGCAACAAAACTTGCCTTGATCGACTCGATGATGTTGTAGATGGAGAATGTGAACGAGATGATCGAGATGAACTAAGCACAAAAAAAAAAGAAGAATAATGCAATCTTCTAGAAGATTGGATTATTACCTGGAAGATGACGCTGATGATGATGAATAAGATACTTCTCGACCACCACCTGATGAACGACGATTACTACCACCGCCACCATGATTTCGTGATCTAAGAAATTATAAAATGAAACAGATTGAAAACCTATGAAAGTAAATCTACATAAGTGTCTATCTTAAGATAGAAGGATCTTGCTAGAATGCGGGTATAATTTCAGATATATTAAATTGCAATTACTCAATAGAATTATAATCTTTTTTTTTAAGAAGATCCTGAAATTTAAATAAAATTAAGTACCTATCCCATGGATCATGCCAATCATCTCCTCGTCGATTATTGTACGGATTAGGATGTAATTGTTCATCATTATTATGATGTGAACCGGATACATACTGTTGTTGAGATGGATTACGTTTATAAGGTAATACATCATCTCTTTTCGATGTTGATTTACTAATAAGAAATAATGAAAAAAGTGTTCTTATGATATTTATTAATGAAATAAAAATATTAAAACTTACTTATCTTTTGTTGATAATTTATCTTTTCGATTTCGATTATCATTTCGTGAATCAGTATAATCATTGGAATGCCGTGATCGACGAGCAAGATGATCATTTGTTGAAGACATTTGATTATGTCGAGAATTATTATTATTATTATTATTCATTCGATGATGATTATTATTATTATAGTGAGAATTGTTAGATGAATTTGAATACATATATGGATGATATCTATCTGAATAACCACGTTGATCAATATAATTCGATCCAGATTGATCGTAATCCATTAAAGATGGTCTTGAAAAACAAAATAATAAAAAAATGAATTCATATATATTTACATGGAATATTTACCGATCAATATTTAAAAGATTATCATCTGCTTCTCTTTCATCAAGTGCATCACGTATAGTTAAATTAAATTTTTTATCATTGAAATCTTTATCTTGTTGTTTACGTCGCATAGATTGTTCACGAAGCTAAATAAATTAAAGAGAAATATATTTTAAATAATCTGAAATATATGGATACATACAGTTTTTGCTGAACGTAATCCACGTTCCCATGCTGATTCTGTACCACTTGGTGGCACAAGGGGCATACCAGATGGTGGAGCTTGACCACGAAGAATTGGATTTGGGAAAAATGTAGGTGCCTATAAACAAAATATTTTATAAGTAATTCTTCTTCTTCATCAACAAATATTCTTACAATAGTTGTTGCTTGTGGTGAGATCCATGAATTATTCGTTGGTTGTGGTGTAGAAATACTAGCTGATGATGGTGGTGAAATATCATTATTTAATGATGATATACCATCAACAACAGGTGCATTATTTAGATCTAGAAATTAAAATATTATATGAAAATAAGAAGAATTCGTTTTTCTATACTTTTTATTGAATCATTATTTGGATGAATATATTTGCAATTAGGTCCCCAGTGACAACGACCTTGAAGAAAAAATCGACAATGTACTTTAGCTTGAGGTGATGATGGTACACCAGTATTTGTTTGATTACGATTTTGATCTAATGATTGTTCATCAGATGATGCATTATCATTTTTTGTTGTACTTGGATCATGAATCTCTCCATCTTCTAAATCAGCTTCATCCTAATCAATCAAAAACGATTTTACTTAATTGAAAATTTTTTATTATCTATTGAAATTACCACTTCTCCTTCATCACTTGCTGCTGCTTGATTATTTGATGAACCATTATTTATCTTCTGTTGATTATTTAATGTCTTATCTTCTTCTTCATCCTTCGAAATACAAAAAATTTGATTTTATTTCTAAAAATTTTCAATATTATTCTACTTGAATATCAACTGATGATTTTTCTTCATCATTTATTTTCTTCACCGAATTATGAATTTGCTTAACTTGATGATTATCATCAATATCTTCATAATCTAAATTTTCTGGATCATTTATATCAGTATTTGTTGGTGTTGTTTGTGAACGACTACGTTCTTTCATACGTAATTTTGTTTGAATTGTTCCTTTTGATATTGATTGATTTTGTTCATCATTTGTATTTTCAGTATCCATTAATTTATCAACTAACAAAAAAAAAACAACAAAGTAAGGTTTAATTTTATTCTTATCTTCTATTTACTTACCATATAGGAAATAATTGTTTGAATAACCAATATTGTTGTCTCTGAAAGAGGTGGGAAAAAAGATGATGAAATATAAGTTTACAATTTTTCTTTTTTTTTTTTTTTTTTGAATATTCTTATATGGTTTATGAACAAAAGAATATACGAAAAACGAAGGGAAATTTTCCTTTTTTTTTTCAATCGCAGAAGATTATAGATATATATATAAGATGATGGACAGTTTACTTTGGTATTGATGACGATAATGGTGTAGAGATGATATTATTGACTGAATAATAAATCGAAATAATCAATTAGAATGATTAATGATGGAAATTTGAGAAAAAGTAGAGATGTGAAAGATTAAATGAATGTTTACTAGAGAACAATGATATATCGTCGACGTCTAGGTGCATTTTAATGTATTCATATACGCGATTGAATACACGAAACAACAAGAAGAACTTTCTTTTACGATTTGTAATATACTAATTGATTGAGAAGCCATTTATAGAATGCAGATTACCCAAATGGATGTTACAATATAATATTTAATCAAAGAAATAGATGTCACTAGTTTCTTATTCGATATTTATTCAACAAATAATCTATTGTTCGAAAAATATAATTCGTTTTTTATTCATATATTTCTATTTGGTTATTTTTAGACCGAAAATTTCATCAAGATAAAATAATTGCATGAAAATTGATTTAATATATGTGGAACAAATAAATTCATTAAATTGTGTTAAATCAAACTCTTGATTTATTCTTTCTACAAAATATTCATTCCTAACATATAACAGTGCTTGTTTTTGGATGTTATCGATTGAATAATTAACCTATATACCGACTTTGTGTATTATCAAGTAAGTAAAATAGTTCATTAATTTAAACAAAATTTGGTTCTCTTTCTTTCACAAAAATGCTTCTATGAATATCTAATTTAGTTACAATAATATAATATTTGGCTTGTGATAACAAGAATGAGATAGGAATATCGATACAAAATTTTATTTGCTCCTAGAAATATTTTTCAAATATTATATTAAATTTTTTTTTAAAAAGATTTATGAGAAAATTTCATATAATAACGACATTATTATTATCTTGTAGATATTATATACCAATCGTAATAATTGGTAATTTATGGAATGGAATACTTGTATAGATAGATAGTATGATGATCAAAAAACTATAATTAATTATACAACTGTTAAACTAAAATAGTATTAAGATTTAGTTATTTATTTTTGTTAAATATAATCAAAAAAAAATTATTATGCTACCCGCTCATCGTTTTCTTCCATCTTATAATACGGATGACCGATTAATAGTTGCTATAATACAACAGGATCTTACTAAAGTTCGATATATTCTGGAATCGAATCGAGCTCGTTCAACAATAAATCAAAGTCTTTATTTTGTTTCATATAGAGATGATTTTAATCATCCTATTACACCATTAGGTATAAAAAAACAATTCTTATATTATATTTTCATCTATGTTTGATTTTTATAGCTGCTGCGTGTCATTTTGGTTCGTATGAAATAGTTGATATATTAATTAATTATTTTCATGCTAATATCAATACACAACATTTACCTGGTTGGAAAACAGCACTTCATTATGCTGTATTAGCAAAATCAAATCGCTATGATATCGTTCAAATTCTTCTTCAACATGGTGAATAGAAACCATAAAGTTTTTTTTAAATAAAATATTCATTTTATTTGTTTTTTAAATAGGCGCTGATGTTAATGCACAAGATCGTTATGGTACAACACCATTAATGTTAGCTGTACTTCATTCTGATTGTGATATTGTACATTTATTACTTGAACAAGCCGGTGCAAATGTACGTATTCATAATCAATATCATTTAACAGCGTTTGATTTTGTTAAATATAATCTAACAATTATTAATGATCTTATTCGTAATGGTGCTATATCATTTAATATAAATGACAAAGACCTTTTTCAATGGTTAATTATTAATAAACATATGCGTTTAGCACGTTTATTAATTGAAGCTGGTTATATTCCACCTATATCATTATTTCAACAACGAATACGTCCATTAAAAAGCTTATGTCGTTTAAAAATACGCTTACAAGTTGCGGGTACCCATTTTCGAGAACGTATTCAAACACTTCCGGTGAAGTATAATCAATTAATGAAATATATCTTACTTGATGATATATAAATTGTATTTTTTTGTGTAATTATTTTTTTCTTCTTCTACATATGTGTAAATATAAAAACTCGTGTTTTGTACAGTTGTTAGTGTTAAATCAAAAAAGAAATCGATGTTATTTTTGTTTGTAATAAAATGATTGATATAATTAGAAATATTCTCTTAAAATAATTAATTATTATGAATAGCAATATTTTCTAAGGTAAAAATTCTCTTTTACATAAATGCAGTTAGAAGTATTGTGAAATTATTTTTACCTTTGCACCTATAAATACTCGTGACGATAAACTATGGACTAGTGAAAATATTTCATTGATCAATACAATGTTTTGTTAAAAGCTTGGATATTATTACAAAAATAACTTTTGTCATAAGAGCCTCTTAAAATTTTTATTGATTTTAAGGCAAATAAGTGCAAGCTGCTATGATGCATTTAAGGTTTATATTTTGGTTTAAAAAAAGAAAAAAGTGGGTGTGTACATTTGCGTATTTCGTTTTCTATTATGTCATGTATGTACGTTATGATTAATCAAGGAAGTATTATTCACATCCGTTGGAAATTTTGGTTCTATAAATGATTTATACTCATAATATTTTTATTATCGATGTACATTAATATGATGATGATGATGAAAGAAACCGCACGACGTATTTCTATTCAACAAAACATAAATAAATTAGGTAATATTTTGAAATTACCTTGTGTTATTAATTATTTACGACAAGGAGATAAAATCAATGCTCGTCTTATTAATGATGTTATACAACATTTGGCTATTGAACAACCAAAACAAGAGGCATTATGGATATGTGAACGTAGCAATAATGAATATCATAAATTAACATTTAATGATATATATATACAATCATCTCGTTTCGCGAATGTACTTACTGGACAAGGATTTGATTTAACAGCAGGAAAAACTGTAAATTATTAAATTTATATGTATCCTAATAATGTGGGTTTTTTTAAATAGGTACTGGCTATTTTACCAGATTTTAGCAAAGAACGGATTATATTACAATTAGCATGTCTCCAAAGTGGTCTTACTTTTTGTTGGTGTAATCCAGAAGATCTAATTAAGATGGGGATTTCTCAACGAATTCAAAAGTTGGCTGTTGATTGTATTATTACGGATGATGATAATTTTGAATTAGCAAAACAACAAACACATAATCCATTACGACCATTAAAAAAGGGCCTTATTACAAAAGATTTAACATCGAAAGTATCAGCAGTTGGTTGGAATAATTTTATTCGAAATGCTAATGAAGCTGAAAGTAAATATACAAATGCAACAAATATTCATTCGGATATGCCAATGATTCGTTTATTATCAAATAATAATGATATCATTCAATATTCGCATAAAACTTTTACTGAACAAGTTTTATTAGCAGCGTAAGTTTTATTTGAAAAAATATTTTCCTCTCAATATTGAAACTAATATTTAGCCTTTGGTTTAATATGGATAAAACATCTCGTTTAATATGGATGAAAAATCAAAATGAAATAACTTCAATTGCTCCATGGTTATTTGGTTCAACAATATTATACAAGGAAGCTGAAGATTCTAAAGCAATGTTTAATACTTTGGAAAAACATTCTATTGATGCTTTTTGTGGATCAGTTAGAGATTATGAAATGTTAAATAAGCAAGAACAAGGCAATCAAACACAACTTAAACAATTATTATCTATTGCACCAGTTGATCCTGAAATCAAAGATCGATGGAATGCATTAACAAATCTTCATATTCGTGATGGTAAGTTTATCAATTCAATTCTTCGTATTTACTCTATAATTTTTAATATTAGATTATACTGATTTCAAAAATCAATCATTGGCAGAATATTTATCAAATTTTGATAAATCTGGTATGAAAAACTCATGTCTTCTTTCCTGTAAACTTATATTTTTTTACTTTATTTAGATAAAAGTAAATTCTTTAATAGTAAAACTATTGGCGAAAGTAATAACTGTAATAATAATCATTAACCACGAACTAAAACTATTCTTTTGTAAAATATATCCTATATTTAATATTTTATTTAAGCAAAAAAAAATTTTTCATTTTTTCCAATAAATAAATCTTTTATATCGCGCGTATTCTTAGTCTCTATGAATACGGTATATTCAAGAAAGTATGATTTAAAAACCAGTATCCATTAATATTATACAAGCAAGTACAGACAATATATATTTATTAAAGAGAAAAATGCCAAAATATTCATTAAATCGAAATAATATTTCGAAATCTTTTCCTAATGTTTTATTTTTATTAGAATCAAATAAGATGGTGCAACCATCTAGAAGTAATAGTTCACCATCTTGTTTAACATATTCACAAAAGAAAATAACAATAGCAAAAGTAAATATTGAAAAGAATAATATAGATTTAATCAAGAAGAATCCTACTATCGGTGAATTACTTGGTGATGATGATTTATTTCAATCTCGTTATCATAATCAGTATAAAATATCAAGATATCAACGAAAACGATATCGTCAACAATCTTATTCTCGTAATCATACTTATTACAATCGTCAAAAACAACAACGATTCAATAGAATTAATGAATCTCAACAACAATCATCAAATATTATTGAATCTATATCCGACGCAAATCAATTTTATTCCTATCCAACAACATACAATTATCCATCGTTATCTTCGTACTGTTATTATTGTTATTCAAATATGGCTTCATATTGCCCATGTCTCATATCCGATTGCTATACAGGATTATATCACCAAGAAATATTTGATGAATCGTTGATATTTCAACAAAAATATCCACGAACTGAAACGTATCAATATTCAGATATTTATTTTCATAATGATAAAAGATTACAATCACATTCTTCTATATCAAGAATATAATTTTCATTTGATTAAAATCTCTTGTAGAGAGGAGTCATAGAGATATTTTATTTAACAATCGATTTTTTTTGTTGTTCACTTTCAAGCATAATTAAACAGCATAGATGAGGAATAAAATTTGCATAATGACAAAATGGTTTTTGTCGTATATCAATAGGTATTTGTGATGATTTAATTAGTTTATAAATTGTTAAAAAAGCTGATATACCAATTTGTTCTTCAACATATTGACGAATATGGTCGATTTTAGTTCGACGATTAAATTGATTTGTACGTGCAACATCAAATAATAATTGTAAAGGAGAAAGAGATGCCGGTGATAATGTTATTGCATCAATTGATTTTAATAAACTTATTGTATCATCATTAAATGATTCTTTCTTACTAGATGAATTCTGTTGTTGTTGTATTATTGATGACCTTAAATTAAAAAAAGATAATATCGAGATAGAAATCATATGATTGTACTTACTGTTGATCATCATCATCGTTTATTTGATTATCTGTTGTTATTTGTTCTTCATCATGATTTTCTTTTGGTGGTATATAGATACCTCCTTGCTGTTGATACTTGCGCATGAATTCATCAAGTTGCATATCTTTGTGTCGATGTTTATCGGAACGTATAATCGTTATTTTAGATCCTTGTAAGGATCGTTTTGCTTTTCTTTCATCATTATTATCACTTGACGATGCCGATGAAGAGACTATATTAGTGGTAATAAATGGTCTAGAATAAGTTTTCTTTGGTTTCATTTTAATACGTTTAGACTGTTGTTGTTGTTGTTTTTGTTCATCACCTGATGCGAGAACTGATGATGATGATGATGATGTTGAATCAGCGCGTGGAAAAGTTCGTATTGTATGATTATCAATGCCAGTTTGACATAAATTTTCTTGTGATGATGTTATTAATTTAGTAAATGGAGTTTCGATAGAAGATTGTGTTGAAATATTCTTTTCATCGGATTGATTATCATTAAGTATACATATGTGATTATTACTGGTTTCATCTATGTCAATATAGTTTTTCTCGTTTTCATAAGACGATGATGAAATAATGTTCGAATCATGATCATCATCGAGATTTATCGATGTATCCGGAAATCTTGGTGATGGAGACTTTTTTAAAATACTTTTTGGTTGCATTTGAACGAGTAGATTAAGATAAGTATCATTTGCCGATGACATAAGTCCAATACTTCAGAATATGATAACTAACCTTGCATTGATATAAGTCAACAGCGAATGGTACTACTGTCTTTTTTCTTCTACTTCTCTCGCGTAATCGTTATGGAGAGGGAGATAATCGATTATCTTATATATACAAAAGAATACAACCCAACCCTTTCTTTCTCTTTCACTTTTAACCTTGCAAGATTTTTTTCTACTTATTTATTCGATTAATTTATTAAAACAGGAGGTTCAATTACATTATTTAATTTAAAATGCCATTTATGTTCTATCCATTCTAATGGATTAATTAACGGATTATTACGAGTTTTTTCAATAAAAAGACCTGTTTGATCACGACGAATAAGAATAATTGTTGATGTTCTAGAAAGAGAAAATCGATGGTTATGAAAAATTAAATGAAAGCAATTAACCTTGTTCCATAATTTCGTGCTTCATCTGTTGTAGGAACATTTATAGATGAAATTTGTCTACGATTCCCAACTGTATAATGTGAATAAACCGTAGCAATATTAGAATCTTCAGCAAAACTAAATTAAATTATAAAAAGTTAAGATCTTTCTTATAAAAAGAAAACTTACACTGTACTATCACTTAATATACAAAATAATCGTCGAATTAATTCTATTTCATCTGTAATTGGTTTTGTATAATTATCTGTTAATTCAATAAGAGATGTTTTTAATAACTGGCAACCATGACGAGTTTTCTCAAATGCATATTGATCACCATATATATGATTACTAAAACCGAAGATAGCTATCATAATACATACAAAAAAAGATCATTTAGTTGAATAAAAACATAAAATCGACTTACATGTGTCGATATCAACTGGTAATGATTCGAGTGAAATATTATTTATATATTTCGCATGCCATTTTCTATTGATAGAAAAGATTATCCAGTTATAATTCAAAATATAAAGAATATCTTGTGTATAGGCTAGAAGCAGTATGTTAAACGTCTAGGTACTTATTTTATATTTCCATATAAGAAAACACTGATGATATAATCATGATACTATTATTGTAATGCCTCATAAATCAGCGTTAGTATAAATATGATGAGTTCATTCTTTAGCATTGGCGTAAAAGTCTATATCTATTTTTAGCATTTTTCTTTCCTGGAAACTCATGTAGATAATCATAATATAAATGCATATTCTATCTAAAAGCAATTTTGCTAAATCTGTATGATTAGTTTTATATTCTATTCATTATAAGCAAATAAGCAGGTCATATTTGACTCACTTCGACTCCGATTGTCGTTCGAGTCCAAGAAAATTAAAACCTGTATAATTCATTTTAGTCTTTTGTAATTCATCCATATATGTATCGAGATTAATCTCGGAATTATTGACAAAATTTGTTACAAGAAAACCTCGGCTCTGTGCATTGTCTTTTTTTGTTGCGACTAAACTCGAAGTTAAATTTAATAAAACACCAATCTTGCATTGAACAGTATTTAAAGATAACCAAGTTCCACCTTCACGTGATAGTGTTTGATCTTGTCCTTTATATATATTAAAGAAATTTTTTTGTTTAATCAATTTAAAATATGAGAAGAAAAAAAGCAAAAATTTTATTTCCAACCTCCAATTGCATATTTCGTATCTTTCCAAACATGAGCATGAATAGCTGGTCGTTGAAAATCTTCATCACGATTTGATAATAATATTAATTCATAACCTGTATCAATTTTTTCGTCTTGTAAATAACAGAAAAGAATACACATGATCTCAAAATACACACAAAAAGTTTATAAGAAAGAAGATAACTGTTTAGTCGTTAGTTCTTCAAATATGTGTTTTCTTTTTGTTCATCTTAAAACACTTTTTGAAGAACAAAAAAAGAAAAAATATCTTCAGTTTTACAATGAAAAAAAAAAAAAGAACTGTACACATGAGAGAAACAGTGTTTATCAGCTAGTTGAAAAATGAAAGACGACTAATCATCCTTATATAAATAAATGAAAAAAAGAGAGAGAGAGAAAAAAAAACGAAAAGAAAATGTCTATACAGCTTTGTTATTTGTATTTTGTCACGAACGATTTTTATTTGATGTTGTCCCACTATAGTCTATGCCACGACATGTCGATGAAAATGTATTTATATTATCTTTAAAATTTGCACGGCTTGTACGTTCACTAAAACAGTTTATTTCAAATACAATAAAAGAGAATATATATATATACGTACGATGTTAATGCTTTGATTAATGCTTCACGATGATGGCGCTTTGGAGATGGGGTAGGAAAATTTGGATCGTTTAAACATTGTTGAACCCAATTTGATGTCCAATCAATATATGCTTTTGAGAGAGTAAACAATGGTAATGATAATGTATCAACTAAATGACGAGGACTTGCGCTACCAATGCACTAGAATAAGAATAGTTTTTTAATATTACATAAGTCAACAGTACTCTTAATACAATATTATATTGACTTATACGTGCCGTTTATATATTCATATACTGATATTTTCTATTTTCAAATGAATTTTTCTTATTAACTTTTGAATAGGTCTTAAGAAAAACTTTTTTCTATAAGCACTGACTATATCGGCTATTGTTTATATTGAGATCGAACAAGAATATACTTGAATGTGTAAATATTATATTCTTTTCTTTGTCTATACACAAATATCAATAAAAACGAAAATGAAGAAATTCATAGCTAACCTTAAGAAGAATCTGTACAATTTCAAGACCATTTTGTTGTAAAAGATCAGCTGCTCGTTGATTTAATTTTGTATATTCAATATAATTCGACTTTAAAATAAATAATCATAATCAATAAATATTGAAATTTTATTTACACTACCGTAAACATAGTTATACTTCTTAATGTTGACTGTTCATGTAATTGAAGACCACTTTTTACTATAAAATAAATCACAATATCGAAAAAAATTTTTTTATATATATTATCGAAATTACCAAATTGAAAAAGTAGAACAAATGCTTCGTTAGGGCAATGATGCACAACATGTGGTAATTTTTTAATAACCTAAATGTAAAATAATTAAATAGAGATAATTTTCTTTAAGACGAATTATTTTACTTGGATAAGAAAATTAGCGAAATCTTCTACAATATCTACATGATTTTTTAACCATACTATATCTAATTTTAATAAAATATAGAACTTTCAAATAAAATTTGTTTTTTTGTTCAAACCTCCATTGAAAAGACATCCAAATCTTTGAAGAACAGCAAGAAATAAATTAAATGTTTGTTTGTCTGTATCTTGTGAAAAAAGAAGAAGTGTCTAAAAGACCAACAAATTGTTTTCTTATTAAAAACAAAAAAAAACTACATACATTTCTAACAAAATTTAAAAATTGTAAATGTAATATAGTTGGCCCAATATTTTGTAATAATTGTAAGAGAGTATTTAATATTGGACTACTTGATTCTCTCAATGTTGTTACTGTTCGTGAAAGTATTTCACAAAGTTTCTTTAAATTGAAATTATTTCATTTATTATTTAAAAATTAAGAGTTTTTTTTGATCATCTTACTTCTGTTACTTCATTATCATCAGCGTATTGTTTAAGAACCAGATGAAGAATTGGATCAAGATCGCGGAGAACACAGCATAACTAGAAATAAATCAAAATGAACCGCCTGTTTTCTATAATTGCCAAGAATGATTTAAAACTCTGTACTCATGATTAGGAATGTACCGAGCCCAAGCCTCTCGGGCTCGGGGCTCGGTCAGGGCTCGGGGTCGGCCGGGATCAGGTGTTAGAAGCTCACTCCCACATCAATCTGACACCCGAGCCTTGACCGAGTCTCGAGTCTACCAAGACCGAGCCCTGAGCCTGACCGAACCCCGAGCTTGACCGAACCCCGAGCTTGACCGAGCCCGAGCCTACCGAGCCCCGAGCGGCTCGGACTCGGTACATGCCTACTCATGATACCTCCGAATATTTTACACATGTTTAGATAGTCAAAGGAACCTTATCAAGACTTGCTATAATATGCTTTTGTTATGTGAATATATTAGATAATCATACAAGCAGTTAGTAAAAAGAAACAGAATAAATGATTGTCGCTTCAATTTGTACAAACATGTTTAAATATTATTTGTGCTCGTAGAAGTGAAAATATGTTGCGCATCATATATTTATCTTACATAAACTTCTTACCCCAAAAATGAATCGAATAACTCAACAGGTTATAATAGGAAAAACCTGGAATATGTATAAGCATTTATGACATATTTTGAAATCAATTCCGGTGTGACATAATTTCGAAATAAATTTACGCGAAATTTATATCTTTTTTTACTGGCAAAAAAAACCATTTTGTCTATGTCTATATTAGAATCGATTTAAAATTTTTGTTTTTCTACATATTTAAATATTAAAGATATAAATCATATTTTTTCTTTTCATTAACATACCACTTCAGGTATATCGTTAACAGCTTCTATTTGTTTTTGATGTTGTTCATTTTCTTCATTATCACTTTGATCACCACAATAACCAATAGCAGTGATAAGAACAGAAATAAAACTTAATGTTGTACAAACATTTTGTTTTCTTAATATAACATTCTATTAAAAGGAAACAAATGGAAATATTTTAAAAGGTATTGCCGTTAATCTTACCTTTTCACCACCTGTTTCTGATAAATAAGCAAGTAATTTATTAACTTCAGGTGCAAGTAATATATTTAAATGATCAATAACAATTTTTGATGGATATGCTGATAGGATATAACCAATAATTGCAACACAACGAATACGATCATTTGGTTGAACATTAGCATTCTCAAGAACATTCTATTAATATTAACGTGTACTTATTAAAATAAGAGCTTTTTCTTATTTTTACTTTTATTATTGGAAATATATCATTGAGATATTTTGACATATGCATACGATTTTCCATTGTTAATTCTTTTAATGCAATTGAAGCTGATTGTATTAATTCAGGAGTTGACAAAGCATTAATACATAAATGTACACAATTTTGTAATGTTTCCTGATGATGACCTAACCAACTACTATATTGTCCTTGAAAACAAAAAGAAAATTAATTTTATTGAGTGAAGATATTTCAATAAACAAAATTTACCAAGGACCATAAGAGTTGCATTAATAATTGAACTGTTACAAAAATTTAATTTTGGTAAAAGTAAAAAAATTCGTGGTAAAACTAGATTTTCATCAAGTGGAACATATTCAGAACCGGCACCAACTAATTGAATAATCGATTCTTGTCGCTATTTAGACGAAGAAATTATAAATTTCAATTAAATTTTATCGATGAAATTCTACCTGCCAAGTTTGATTTTGTTCAACTGCTAATAATAGATGGTTGGCTAATACTAGAAATTCACAAAACAAAAATGTATACGTATGAAATGTTGAAGTTATAATTGAGATTCTTCAAATTCAGAATTCAGTCACTGGACATTTAATTATTTTTTGTCCAATGTTATTTATAGTTAGCATTTTTATAAACTTTCTTTCTCTTAGAAGATAAGGCTCGAAAGCTTATTTTATCTATCCGATTAAGGTAATCCGAGAGTGTTAGTCTTCATAAAACCTTCATTTAATGTTCCTATCTAATAAAGTCACTCTCGTATTATAATTCAAAACTTTATATGTGTATATCACACACCCTCCTACGCACAGTGCTAAACAAATTTTAGTTCTAGTTCTTAGTTTTTTCTCCATTGATGATATTTTTAGAAATAATATCTTCCGCGAAGCCAACTATTTTATTCCAATAAGAAAATGAAGTGCTTTAGAATTTTTAATTAATTCTTCAAGAAAATGTTACTTTTCTCCTTAATAAAAATTCGACATCAATTTACCTTCAATGGCTCGATTTCCAAGAACATTATGCATGCACATCTAAAATAAATTTTTATTTATTTCAAATTTAATATTATTTTGTTTTTCTTAACCATTGTATCGGTTATATCTACACGATAACATCGAAATGTTTCTTTATCTTCACTTGTAAAAATACTATCATTTTCTGGTAATTGTCCTTTAGAGATTAATACTTCAATTAAACGTTCAAAATATGGACGAAATAATTCTAATAAAATCATTTGTTTTTCATCTTCATCTGCTGATGTTACTTCCTCCTAATATTCGATAAAAAAAAGAAAAATTTTTCTTATAAATAAACGAAGTTTAATCATACCTGTAATGCATACCAAAAACTAAATGTTAATTCAGAACATGTCTCTTCAACGGGATATTGTCCTTTCATATCAGTACATTTCTAGGATAAATTTCAATTTATTTTTGTTTAATAAAACAAACAAGATTTATACCATAACAAGGCAACAAAATTTATGTGAAAGTGTTTGTATCTGTTGATTAGGCGTAATAGCCATTTGAACAATAAGTTGAGCAAGGTTTTCACCAAATTGAGTAATTAATTTTGTTATACACTCCGCTTTTTCCTTAAAATTTAATGTAAATATCAAATGAATATTTCCTATATATATTTTACTTTATCACCAATCATTAATGCTTGATCAAGTATGAATTCAAGTTGTAAAACATATGGTAAAAGACGTGAAAATGTTGATGGATATCTAAATGAATAAAATTTGTTGTTTTTTTTTGTTATTCTTTATTTCTATATGGATTTACTTTAATGCATCAGGTGATGTAAATAATACAATAATACAATCGGATGCATCATCAAATATACTTTCATTATTTAATGAATTAAATAAATAATCAAAAAGTGATTCAACTTTTATAATTGATATACCAAATTCAAGCCATTTTGATAGACATGAAAACATTTTACCAAGAATATCTGCCTGATTATATGTAGCAATAATAAATTGTATATAAGTAAGAACTAAATATATATTAAGAATAGAAATTCACAAAAAAAGTAGATACACATTTTATTGAAATTACCAGTTGGGAATTGACTTTCGAGTTCAACTCGGATTGATGCACGCTGAGCTTTAGATACAACAATACGCGAAAACTAGAAAAAAAATGAATTTTCTTGATATTATTATTATTTCTTGCTGGAGAAAGAGACAGTAGAGAAACGAATATAATATGCATCTATAAACTCGATTTGAGAACTACACATAAACAGTTTTTTATGTTTAAATGTAATATGATACTAGATGATGTATGAAGTAATAGTAAAAACACTTCACGTTTACATTTTTCAAAATCTTTATAATACAAGTTTTTAAGAGCTTTCAATTGCATTCTTTCACTGAAGTATACTCCACAATGTCGAGCTATGATGAAACTTATGTCAATTATTTGCCTCAAAATATCGTTCACAAACTATAAATATTTTGATTCAAAAAGATCAAAGACTTGTGTATCACATTATAGCTATGAAATCATAAGTCTTACATGCGGAGTTATAAAAATGGTTCAACTAGTTTTTTCACTTAACTTTCCTGTCACGAGACAACCGGTAAAATGGATAAAAACATTATAGCTTTCTTTTGAGACACCTCTAATGAGCTCTATGATTTTACATAGACAGCATCATACTTCAATAATAGATTTAATCTAATAAAGTACTTGAAAATATTTACTTTCAGTATCAAATACAACTAAACATTTTACTCATAAAAATTATATATCCAATAAATCATTTTGACATAGACTTCAGTATTTTGAAGAGTTTCTTAGACTCACACGAACTTATTTATACTCAAGAGATTCAATAAAATGACCGCAAACGTCTGCAACATTCAGATTGGTTTTCTCACAAATATTCAGCACTTTTTTATTTTTAAATTTATTTTCATTGTGAAATATAACACAAAATATATTGTATTAGTCTTTCAAGAAGTATTAACCTCCATCTGTTCCGTAACATTTTCAATACTAAAAAGAACACAAATGCATTTGTTATTCGATTTTATCAATAGAATGAATAAATAGACAGTCAATATTAAGTACGATAAATGATATCGTAAGAAAAGAGAAAATGTTATAGCGAAAGAACGCACTAATCTATCTATATATATATATCAGTACGACGAATATAGACGAAAAAAGAAATGCACCGAAATCAAAGAAACAGATGTTTTGTTTTTCTATTTCAAAATCGACGAAAACTTACTTCTTCAGGAAGAATAGTTAAAATATTTAAAACAATTAAATGTCCTTTTTCAGGCTAGAAGAAAAAAATAAAATAAAAAACAAAATAAAATCTATTTCAAATTAACAAACATGTTTGATTAAAAATTCATTTTGTGATTGCGTAAATAATGTAATAATTGCTGTTATACCATTCTTCCATTTATCAGGCATCATATTCAATATTAAATGTCCCAGCTAAACAAAATAATTAAGAATTTCTTTTTAACAAAAAAATTCTATTTACAGCAACAACTAATTTAATTGTTATTTGTTTGGAATTAATTGATATATAAAATATTAAACGTTGAATCAATTGTTGAAATAATTGTTGAATTTGATTATCATCTAATTCCGATCTAGTATATATATATATATATAGAGATATATTTTACAGAAAAAAAGTTTTATCTTACAAATGTTTTGATATTTTATTACATAGAGCAACAGCACCAAAAAATTGTACACTTGGAGATTTATTTATATTTAATAATTTCCACGAAAAATCCCATGCTAATGGAGAATATTGTAAACATTCAAGAATATGATTTAATTGTTGACGTTGTGGAACAGATAATTGCGATGTTGGGGAATAGAAATCATTAATTGTACGTTCTATTTTGAAATAAATAGAATTAGATTTATAAATAATTACTAAAATAGAAATAAAAATTTAACCGATTTCTTCTACGGAATAATCTGTTGGAGAGACATTCTTTGGATCATTTCCATTGGTGATATTTGATGAGCTATTAAACGTTGTTGGAGATGCCATAAGCATGGCGATAAAAGAAGAAAAACCTGATCTTGGACAAAAAACGAGATGTTCTACAAAAAAAGATACGCTTATTTGATGATAAATGTTTTGAAATAACCGTTCGATTTGTTGATAAGTTCTTTAACTCAGCTGTTATTTGTTTTCTTTTTTCTTCCTTCGATTCGGTGAGTATCGCTATACGTTTATGTTCTTATGCAATCATAAATATATATATGATGTCACTAGTCCACAATGGACTTCAAACAATATAAAAAAGATTTTTACTAAATTATTAACTAATATTTTACGATAAAAAATTTAAAATCAGTACGAATATATCGAGAGATTTTATTAAGAAAAGTTCTTTCTATTTTTTCAAGATGTTAAAGATATTAATCAATAATTAGAGATGTGCAATATGGCATGAAGGACGAATAAATGATAATTAACAATTATTATCTGCCTTATTGGTCAAGGTAATTGTTCTCAATAGAAATACCATCTGATTTATGTATATTTCAGCAAATATAGTTTTGTATTTAGTTCAGATTTTTGAATTTACTTAAACATAATTATCTATGTAAAAACGACCGGGAGAAAATATTGTGTTATACTACACATCAATAAAAATAAGTGTGAAAAAAGAATCTGATATATTTGAAATCTGTATCAGATTTTGACAAATAATTTTCATTGAATGAGTTGTACATGATAGTTTATAATTATTCACATTTAAAACATCTGCTAATATAATGATATTATATTTATTCATTGTCAAAACCATTTTCTTTATATTTCGTTATTTAAACGAATGAATGGATATTGACATTTTTATTTTTAGTATAAAACATTCAGAATAATATAATAATAACAAATATACGAGTCGAAGAAATGAGTGAAAAAACGTGTGTTTTTTTGCATTCCTTTCTTCCAACAGAAGTGACAGAAGTGTGTTATTTTTTTATTTTTGTTATTATTTACCTGAGGAAAAAACCTTTTTCCAGATCTTTTCTTTTCTGGAATACGCTCCTATAAGCGGCAAAATATCGACAAAAATATAATAGTAATAATATTGGTACACCATCAATAGTTAAATGATTGATTATTAAATAATTATTTATAATAAATCTTATCGAGAAAATAAATATTCTGCAATATAATATGGCTTGGCCAAATATGCCAGATAGATTTCAATTACGTCGAATCCATCCTTTCCAACAGACGAAGGTAATTGAATCTTTTGTTTACAGAACAAATAAAAGTTTTATTCCCTGTCAAGATTTTTCTCATTCTTGAAAATAATTTGTACTGTGTTACGTGGAAATAACCTCTGTTTTGATAAAATCAAGTAGGATATAACCTATTTCACTTGGTAGGTAGGAGAAAATATGGCTTGCATAGATTAAAATTTTTTCTCTACATTTTTCATTTAATTTCACACTTTGATGACTATATTATATCTTTAAATAAAATTTTTCTTCCCTGGGCAACTTGTATTTCAATTACTGATATATGGGAAAAAACGAATAAAATTACTTGGTAATTTCTCTTATTCATATAATAAATACTGCTGTCAATGTTCTTGAAGTATATTGATTACAAGAAAACATGAATAAGCTCAGATCATTCTATTGGCTATTAGTTAGTAAATCTTTATTTTTTGATGATTGTTCCAGAAGATATCATCATGTATAAATAAAACAGTATTTTATTCTGTCTATTTCTTTTAGCAGAAAGGTTAGATTTTTTTGTATATTGTTTCTCATGATTCATAATTTATTGTGTAATATATATATCTTAACAATCTAAACCAATAACATTTTTTTAAATTCTGTATTGTAGATGTCTGAACCATGCGCTGTGAAGGACTGTCAACGTACTTCTAGAGCCTTATGTCATTGTTGCGATCAAAATCTATGTCGTATCCATTTAAATGAACATGATGATTTATTAAATAGTCAATTAAACCCATTCGCTGATGAACTTAATCAACTTCATGAGCAACTTAATCATATTAATGTAAAAACTTTACTTGACAATACTTCTGAAAAATTAGAACATTGGCGTATTAGTTCCCATCGGCTAATAGACGAATATTTTAATGAAAAAAAACAAAGATTTGATGATTATGTAAATATAAAAATACACAAACAATTAGAAGAAATTAATCAATTAAGAGGAACAATTAATCAACTCGTTCAAAAACAAGATACGACTATCGACGATCTTAAGTTGATATCATCGTCTATACAATCTGTTCGAAGAGAAATCACTCAACTAGAATATAAATCTTTTGAACTTAATATTAATCCTTTAACGATCGATGATAAATTAATTCAAATAGAAGAAAATTCTTTCAAAGTTGATTTTAACTTAAACACTTTAACACCTCCATCGCATGTAATTGATCGTTCTCCTGAAAGTCCAAAACCTATTACATCTAATAATAGAGTTATATTAATGCATCATGATAATCGACTATGTTTATTAGATAAAAATTTAATAATTACAAAATCTATCGATTGGTCTTTCGGTTGGATATGGGACATGTGTTGGTCATCGACATTATCTCGTTTTTTTATTATAACTCTTAATGAAATCTTTATACTGGATGAAAATACAATGATAATGGATCGTGTAGTAACAAAAGAAAAGTATTCGTTATGTTCATGTACATGTTCGGATACATCACTATATATAACAACAAATGAATTAGGTTCATCTATATGTGAATTTCGCCTAATACCAACTATTGAATTAATTAACCGATGGCAACCTTCAGATTTATGTCAAATAAATGAAATTATTCAAGATATGGTTTTTCATAAAGGGACAGTTGCATTTATTATTGAAAATCAAACGAAACATACGAAACGTATGGAACTTCGTTTAGCACAAACATTTGAGGAACTATGGTCTATACAATTTGATATTGTTGATCCACTACATAATGCATTTCGTTTATGTTTATTTAATTTTGACGAATGGATAGTAATTGACTGGAAAACATCACAACTTTTTTACATTACAAAAAATGGGCAAATCAAATCAACGTGTGTCTACGATCCAGTACCATATCGTTGTTGTCAATTTGGATCAGATATGCTGGCTATATCAACTAAAAATAGTATTAACTTTCACAAAATCTAAATAGATATTGGATTAATTGTTAATTTTAATAAGTTGTATACATGTTGTATAGTTTCACTTTATTTATTTCACTCTAACATGAAGTATACCCAACAACCTTCGATTTATCTTTATTTTAAGCATAATCAAAGTGATACTATTTTCATGGAAAAAAAGAGTACTTTGACCTCAACACGTCATATGTGCTTCAGGTGACATTTTCCTCTTTTCCAACATATTTGACTCATATGGTATTTACCAATATCAATAAAAAGATTAGATACGTTATGACTTCCTTCTTCCTTTTTCTTTCAATTAAATGATGTTATCTTTTTTTTTTATATTCAAAATTTATTTCATTTATCTAATTGAGTTACATTGATATTAGGTGGAAAAGCATAAAAAAGTATACGATCTAATTTCCATTCTGGTAGATTATCATCTGCTATATCACTCATTAGAAAATATGATCGACGTGGTTGACTAACATCTTCTGTACCATAATTTATTCTATTCCAATATAACCATACTGGTTTTAATAGAGTCGAATTCATCGATGTTTTATAAGCATAAAATGGTATACCATCATATTTCCATTGATTATTACCAATAGGTAAAGGTGTTGATTCTATTTGTAATGTATTTGTCCAAATATCTTTTGTATTTGAATGAAATGCATGTATAGGAATTGTATTAGGTTTTTGTCGTATATATGCTTGACATAAAATACGATCGAATGTCCAATCTGCACCTATGAGTGTATCAATTGTATGATACCAATAACGAGTTTGTTGAGTTTTAGGATCAGTATATTTTGATTGAGCAATTTGTACAAGACTATAATAAATAGATATGTATATTTTATTTTAGAAAATGAAATAATTTACTGTTTTTTATAGATTGGAAACGTATCTTGTACAGATTTTATAGTTGATGTAAATGATGTATTATTATCTTCATTTTTATTAATAAATGTATGAGTTACATTGACTACGAATGATTTACTTTCCAGAAGAGATTTATCAGATGAATTTGGTTTGAATGATGAGGATGAATATATAAATACTGCTGTTGTTGTATTGTGAATATCTTTTGAATCAGGTACGACAGGCGAACTAGATGTTTTGTTAAAATTAGTTGGAAATGGATCACCAGGTGAAACACTTAATGTGCCTAAATTTTAGATGTCATACAGTATTCTAATAAAAATTCTATACCTGAAATGACAATAGAAAAAGCGACGATGAAAAGAAAACACATTATTGTAATATAAACTATTGTATGATTTATCTGCCTATATATGTATATGTATACGAATAAATTTTGCGTTCGATTCTTTTCTTTCTTTAATATTTCATTGTAAAGAGAAAGACGATCATAATCGTTAGATAATCTAAGAGAAGTGAATTTATTTATTGAGACAAAAAAAACCTCTACATTCAATCTTTTATTGGAAAAGCATAGAAAATTATATCATCACGTATCCATTCCAATGGATCCATATTATTATCATCTGTTGTAAGATATGATATACGTGTTTCTGTCAAATCCGTTGCACCTGGTTTCAATCTATTCCAATATCTTACAACTGGTTGAAGTTCAGTTGAATTTATCAGTGTTTTATAAGCATAGAATGAAACACCGTCTGGTATCCATTGATCATTTCCAATAAGAGGTGGTTTAGGATCCATTTGTATTGTATTAGTCCAAATACTTCTAATTTCTGAATGAAATGAATAGACTGGTTGTGTATTAAGTTGTGTTTTATCATATGCTTGAAATATATATTTATCAAATGTCCATCCATCACCCATGTGACCATTTTCAGTTTCATACCAATACCGAATTGTTTTTGTTTGTAGATCTTCGTGTTTCCATCGACCAATTTTAATTAAACTTTTCATAGAAAAAAAAGAATATAGAATAATATTTACAAAGAAATAACTTACTTTGTTTTATTGTTTGATTTTATTACCGAAGCAATAGATGTTTCTGGTAGGAAGGATGGTTTTTCTTCAAAATCATCGTTAAGATCGATAATTTTATGTGGAAGTTCAGGTACGATAATAGGATTTTCAGTAAATGTTATTGGATTTTTATTAAAATTTATTTTTATTTCAACATCATTATTTCGATTCAAAAGTATTGGTGTAGATTTTGTAGTAGTTGATATGACATTATCTATAGGCTTCTTTTTATCAACATTAAAATTCATATGATCAGTTGTTGGTTCAAATACATTATTTGAATGTACAACTTCAATATTATTGATTAAATCTTCAGAAGAAGGTCTTTTCAATTCAACTTCATCTATTGGAAATGGATCACCAGGTTGACTACTCAAAGAATCTATAGAAATAATAACTCGAAAAAAATTAGGTGTAAAAAATTAGTATCTATTTACTTTGTAGAATAATAGCGAAAACATTAACAAAGAGAAGAAAACGCATTGTAATCATTGAATATACTGACGACAAATGATATTAACTGAAATGTTCGTCTTTCGATTTATATGACGATAAAATTTTATCATTCTTTTCCTTTTCTCTTTTTCATCAGATTTCATAGTTATATAATCGACACATCGAAAAGATTTTATTAAAATTTAAATAAGCTATTTTTATGAGAAATCTTTTATTTCTTTTTTTACACTTAACATAGAAAAAAAAATACTACTCGATCACTCAAAAAGAAGTAGTGCACATCTATTTAAGTAAATATGAGTGCAAAAAAGAAAAAACGCAAAAAGCATTCAATTCATAAAATTTTTTTTGACGAGTATATACGTGAGAAGAAAAAATGAAGAAAACAATTGGGTAAAGTAACTGGAATAAAATTATATTTTACATTTCTCTGTAGTAGATCGACAATGGGAAATACATGTTCAGAACCTACTCCCGTACGATCGAATATTACATCAAAAAAATTAGATAATCAAACGAATTCACGTACGCGTATCGTCGAAAATTTTATTATTGTATGGTTAGATGCGAATATAAATAAATCCAATAGCGATATACAAAATTCACTAAATCAACTCCAACATACAGTTAATACAATTAAAATATTTACTGATATTGAATCTTGTGTTAATTTTCTACATGGGATTGAGCATGAGAAAGTTTTTCTAATTGTTTCTGGTTCATTGGGTCAACAAATTTTACCAACTATTCAGCATAACAATCAACTTGATTCCGTTTATATATTTTGTCATGATTTAACTAAACATGCAACATGGGTAAAACAATATAAAAAAATTAAAGGTATGTTCAATGGAATCGAACCATTATGTGAAAAACTTAAAAGTGATATACGTCAACGAGATAAAGATTTAACACCTGTTAGTATTGTTTCAACAAAATCGAATGAACTTGATCAATCATTTATGTATTCTCAATTATTAAAAGATATTTTATTAAGATTACCATTTAATGATCAAGCAAAAAAGGATCTTGTAGAATTTTGTCGAGAACAATATTCGAAAAATAAATATGAATTAAAAATTATTGATGAATTTGAACGTGATTATGATCGACCATCACCTATTTGGTGGTATACACGTGAATGTTTTACATATACAATGCTTAATAAAGCATTAAGAACACAAGATATTGAAATAATTATAAAAATGGGTTTCTTTGTTCGTGATCTTCATCGCCAACTTGAAGAATTACATTCAAAAATTGATATAAATACTCAATTAATAGTTTATCGTGGTCAAGGAATGTTAAATGCAGAATTTGAAAAAATGAAAGCGAATCAAGGTGGTCTGTTATCATTTAATAATTTTTTATCAACAAGTACTACACGTGAAGTATCATTAGGTTTTGCGCGTTGTGCATTGAATAATCAAGATTTAACAGCTATTTTATTTCAAATGAATATTGATCCATCAGTTTCTACAACACCATTTGCTTGTTTAGATAATCTTAGTTATTTTTCTGATTCGGAAAAAGAAATTCTCTTTTCTATGCATACAATTTTTCGTATTGATGAAATCAAACAACTTGAAGAACGTTTATGGGAAGTACATTTAAAATTAACAAGTGATAATGATGAACAATTAGCTAAAGTTACTGAACAGATGAAAACGGAAATTGCAGGTGGAACTGATTGGCATGCTTTAGGACATTTAATGACAAAAATTGATAGATTTGATAAAGCTGAAGAAATATATAAAACATTATTAGAAACAACAGATAAAAATAATTCAAAAGATATTGCACAACTCTATCATCAACTTGGATATGTTAATAAACAAAGGGATAATTTATCTGATGCACTTATTTATTATAAAAAATCCTTGGAATTAAAATTAACTTATTTACCAAAGAATGATCCAGGATTTTCAGCAACCTATTCTAATATTGGGTCTGTTCTTCTTGAACAACATGATCTTAATGGTGCATTAAAATATTATCAACACGCACTTGAGATTGATCTGCATGCACCTGAACCTGATCAACTTGAAATTGCAACTGATTACAATAATATTGCACAAGTTCTTATGGATCAACGTCAACATACAGATGCATTGAAAAATTTTCAAAATGCATTAAATATTTTTCTTAAAAAACTTTCACCTCGTCATCCATCAATAGGTATACTTTATAATAATATTGGTGATGCATATAAAGTTATGGGTGATAGATTAAATGCACACTCGTCTTACAAGAAATCATTCGAAATTTTAGAAAAATCTTTACCACCAAATCATCGAACATTAACTATAGTTCATGATAATATGACAAGTATGTCATAATGAACTTGACTGATATGAAGAAGCAATTGAAGATGCACAACAAACAGTTAATATTGTTCGCCAATCATTGCGTTTGAAAAATATAATTCATTTTTTTGATTATCTGATAACATACATATAATAATTTTTCAAATAAAATTCTCTAAAATAGAAATTAATAGTTTGTAATTATGAGATAATTAATCAAGACTTTCATTAAGGAATACACAGTGCTAAATTTTCTATTATGAAATGATTACATCACTTCATATCTACCTAAGATACTTCTCTTGCAATACTTTGTATTGGCCTTGACATTCACTATAGACATCTATTGTTTCCATTCATGATTTGTTCGTTGAGTTATTTCCAATAATTTGGAGTCCAGAAGTAATACAGTTCTAGATGTTGTTGTTTTTTACTATAATTCATATTTATCTAATATATTTGTATATTTCTATTTTAGAATTAACTGTTTGAGTAAACATTTGAAGTAGTATGTCATCTGTAGTATTACGTCGTCTTGCTATAACATGTCGTCCGACAACATCTATTTATCATGGACGAACTTTTAGCACTAGTTCACCTCTTTTTACTGAAACGAACAGTAGTCATAATAGCAATACTAATACTACAACTCCTTCATCTGATGCTCCAAGAACAGTTACGTTAATACCAGGTAAATAAAGTTTTTATTCGAAATTATGATTAAAAGAAAAATATTTTTTCTAATAAGGTGATGGTATTGGTCCGGAAATTTCAAATAGTGTTCAAAAAATATTTGAAGCTGCAAATGTACCATTAGATTGGGAATCGGTTGATGTAACACCTGTTAAAAGCGTAAGAAATATTCTTTTAAATACGTTTTTAGGAAAATAATTTTGATTTAGCCTGATGGAAAATTTCGAATTCCACTACGAGCTATTGAATCCGTTACAAAACATCGAATTGGTCTTAAAGGACCATTAGCAACACGTAAGAAAATAATATTTTTAAGCAGAAAAAACTATATATTCTCTCTTGTTTATTGTTCAGCTGTTGGTAAAGGCCATCAATCACTTAATCTTGCATTACGTAAACAATTTAATTTATTTGCAAATGTTCGACCATGTAAAACTCTTGAAGGTTTGTATCTTTCATTATTTTTAATATTAAATTATTTTTGTTCTTATTTAGGATTTCAAACACCATATACAAATGTTGATCTCGTTACAATACGTGAAAATACAGAAGGTGAATATTCAGGTATTGAACATACAATTGTACCAGGTGTTGTACAAAGTATTAAACTTATAACTGAACATGCATCAATGCGTGTATGTGAATATGCATTTCTTTATGCAAAACTACATAAACGAGAAAAAGTAACAGTTGTTCATAAAGCAAATATCATGTAAGACGGATATTTATTTTTTCTATTATTTAAATAAGTTGTTTTTTCAATAAATTAAGGCGTCTTTCTGATGGTCTATTTCTTCAAAGTGCACGTAATGTAGCTGAAAAATATCCGGAAATTAAATTCGAAGAAATGTATCTTGATACAGTTTGTTTGAAGGTTTGTTTTTTTTTTCTATTCGAAAATCTTTACTATATAAATATTTCTTCAATAGATGGTACAAGATCCAACTCAATTTGATTGTCTTGTCATGCCTAATTTATATGGTGACATTCTAAGTGATCTTTGTGCTGGTCTTATTGGTGGTTTAGGTTTAACACCAAGTGGTAATATTGGTGAAAATGGAGCAGCTATTTTCGAAGCTGTTCATGGTACAGCTCCTGATATTGCAGGACATGATAAAGCTAATCCAACAGCATTACTTTTAAGTGCTGTTATGATGTTACGTCATTTAAATTTGACTGATAAAGCAGATCGAATTGAAAAAGCATGTTTTGCTACAATCAAAGATGGAAAGGTACGTCAATCTTATTGAATTATTTCTATTGGATAAAAATATTTCTGAGTAATAACGAAGATAAAAGTCGGTCTTATGTAATTTGAATAGTATCGATCTGGAAAAGATAAAGAAATCATTCTAAAATGCATGAAGGTTTCCTATGGGATTTCTTAATTATTGAAATAAGCTTATTATATTTTTGTTTAAATTTAGGTACTAACTGGTGATTTAGGTGGTAAATCGAAATGTTCGGAATATACTGCAGAAATTTGCCGACGTGTCAAAGATTCATCATAATCTCATACACATAAACATCTTAATCTAGTCGATTGTTTAGAAATAGTCACTTATATTTTGTTTTTATCTATCAAATGAATCCTCTCTTTTTTCTTTTTTTATTCAATATTCTTTATCGACAAATAGTTTTATATACTATTTACTCTGCTAATAACTCACAACATGTCTAAAATATTTTGTTTTGTGTTTTTGTTCAATATGCTTCTAAGTCAATCATGCTTCTCTTTTATCCTTATAACCTTTATTTTCTCAAAACCGAATGAATTAATTTAAATAGAATAAAAAATCCGTTTACCATTTTTTTTTTCTAGAATAATCTATGTTAGCCTTACGACGAGTATCAACTATTTATCAGTATACTCATCCTTTATCATCATATCAATATCGATTTCGATCGAAAAAATCAACAAATGATGATGAATCAAAACCAAATTCAACTCATTTTAATGAAGAACTTTTAAATTTTGAACGAAAAAATATCAATACTCCGAAAAATACATTTAAAAATAAAAGAAATCTTACAAATGATAATAAATTAGAAAAAAAACAATCGATTACTAGTAAAACATTATTATCCAATGATGATAGTAATCAAACAGATGATCTTCTACAAAGTTTAAATATTCAGAATGTAAATCGAAGAAAAAATTATGTTGAAGAACTTCAACGATTATCATCGAGCAATAAACTTAATCTTGCTAAACCATTCAATGTAACAGAAAAAAAACAAAGAAGAGACGGAGAACAAAATGCTCAAAAACAAAAGTAAGAAATTCTGATAACAATCTTCAATCGGATCTCTTTCTAATAGTTGAAAAACAAAACCTTAGCAAAATAATATATGAGCTATTTTTTATGTAAAAAATACTATTATGATAAATTATTTTATAGACAATCTCGTCCGCAAGTTATTCTTGATACTGATTCAAATGAAGTCAAGATTTTAACACGTCAAGTTGCTGATTCTTTAACACCACCAAGTACACCAAATGAAAGTAGTAATATAGAACAAGAATTACTTGATGTTCTACGTGGTCATCGAGTTGTTAGTAAAAATACACGACGAATGGATAAAAAAACTGAATTTTCTCCAGAACATTCAGAACAAAAACAATACAATGAACAGGATAGATTGCCATTAAAAAAACGTATCCGTCCAACAGCTGATAGTAATACTGAACAAACAACTGAAGCTTTTTCGTAAGTTTAATTAAAGTTTAAAGATTGAAGTTAATTTTTTTTTCATAGATCTTTATTACGTGATATTAAATTAAACCCAACTCGTGGTACACCGAAATCAACACTTGACGAAGATTTTATTCGAGATGGTATATTATCAAACATAAAATCTCTTTCATTCGATTCTTGTTTATTTAAACATAGCGGTAGATGGATCTAATGTTCGACCACGATTTAGTGATAATCATGAGCAGAAACGTGATAGTAACGAATATCGAAGACCAATGCGTGACACAAAACGTCGACAAGAATTTATGAAGTAAATTAATTCTTATTAAGGAAAAATTTGAATCATTTTCTTTTTAAGACCGCATCAATTATGGAGTGGTCAACCATTAGGAATATTTACTAAAGAAGAAGGTATTGATAACTAATAAAAAAAATCAATTTGTTAAAATAAATTTTTTATAGATTTAACTTTAAAAATTTCTCCAATATGGGATAAATATGAAGAAGATGAAATAACAAGAATATCAGCCATTCCACCACGAAATGCTTTTGAAGAGATGATTCAATGGACTAAAGATGGAATTCTTTGGAAATTTCCAGTTGATAATGAACAAGGTTTATTTTTCCTATTAATTTATAGGATAAAAATTATTCTCTTCTATATAGATATTGGTTCCGAAGCGGATATTCCATTTTATGAACATGTTTTATTAGAACGTCATCTACAAGATTTTCCAAATTCTCCATTGATTCGTCAATTTATGGAACTTGTTTGTGTTGGTCTAGGTCGAAATCCTTACTGGACAGTTGAACAAAAACTCGAGCATATCAATTGGTTTCGAATTTTTTTTAATGAAAAAATGCATGTTTTCAATGAAACAGTTCATACAGGTGCTATAAAAACTTCTGCACAACCATCTACTGCAAAACCTGTTTCAACGTTTAAACCAAAACCAGTAGTACCACCACCTGCACCTAAAGTTGTTCCTGTTGTTACTCCACTACCACCTGTAAAAACATCGACGACGGCGAGTAAAAAATAAAACCTTGTATTGCTTTATATCTATTTCGTAGAATTAAAAAGATGTTGATGAATTTTTGTTTGACATTCATTTATTTGTGTATAGAGCAGACAATGAAGTGTACGCATACGATATGGATCTAGATGAGATCGATAAAATTGCGGAAGAAAATATGGATAACGATCAGGTGTACGAAAGCCAAATGTTATTTGATTTGTAAATGTTCGAAGAAATGTTTGTTTATTACTATAGAAAGATTTTTCGAGATGAGAATGAAATCGATCAGTTTTCGTTAAAGTTATATTTAAATAAGCAGATAAAAGAAAACCTAAATAAATATCATCATGATAATTTTCACGTATACAACCATCAACAAATTCTGATGTTGTTTGAGTATAAGGTTTAAGAAGATGAATTGTTTGTTTTGATAGACATACACCAGCACCTAATGTAGCAAACCAAAATGGACTTGGAAATGGTTCTTTTGATCGTTGAAGAGCATTAGGCCATGAAGTACGTCCAATATAATAAGGTTTATTAGAATCAAGAGTAGATAAATATTCATTTAATTTATTAACATTAACATATTGATCATCATCGAAATGACAGAACCAATTATATTCAGATATATAATGATGAAAGACTAGAAAATCATGTGCTGTTTTACAACATAAATTACTCATAGAATGAGCATCAGATCCACATGCTTTTTCTGTTAAAATCGTATGATCCTGAGATATATTTGGTAATAATTTATCCGTAATAAAAAAAGTATCTTTATTTACTAATGGTATCCATGTTTGAAGAAGATAAACTAAACGTTTTTGATAAAAACGTGAACCAGTTCGAACAGCATAAATTATTCGATTGGAATTAGATATTTCAGTAGTTACATCAAAATTTTTTGTTTGACGTAATGAATTATAATAAATAAATATCGAACATAAAAGTATTAGCAATAAATAATTACGATATGAACAATAATTTAATGAAAACATAAGTCGACAATAGTGACGACGACGTCGAAACACATAACAGCATAAACCGTACCCCAGTCTAGATCCTTGTCCTAAAATAAACAGTTATTATTCATCGATATGACATAGCTAGAAATAGATATAGATTATGTATTCTTTTCTTCTCTATTTTCTGATTGTCTTTTCTTATAGATTTTCTTCTCGTTCTTAATATATTACCCATTGTATTAGTTTCTTGCGGATGACTGCTTGATTAATATATACATATAGGATGCATAGAAACGAATGAGTTATGAAGAGTAAATAATTCTCACTCTGCCAGCGGTATTTTTTCTCTCTCTGTATGTGGTAAAAGATTTCTTTTTCAAAAAAAAGAACACAACAGGTGTGCTTATGCATGTGTTAAAGGAAAGAAAGGAGATTTATATATTTAACAAGTATTATATTTCCATATAACTTACGTTTTGAATCGTAAAGATGAAACTACAGCTTCATCATAACTATATATTCATGACAGTCAATTGGTACAGAATTATTCAAATAAAAATAAATAAGTAATATTTTCTTTCGGATATAAAACGATAAGAAATTATTTGAATAATGAGATATGGGTATTAGTTTAATTCAAGAATAAAGAAACAGTTTAGTACTTGTTTTTATATCTAGACATTATAATATTAACTCTATTAAATACATAATGACGGAGAAAAAGTAAAAGGTAATGAAAGGTTTCTTTTCAGTTTGCACATGTTTTTCGTAATTCAAGGAATATAAAAAAAATTCGGTGAATTTCGCGTTACTTTAAAAACATTTTTTTTTAAGTTTTATTCAACATAAAAACTAAACCAATTCTGAAAGTGAACTACAGTATATATCATATGTGTAACAAAACATTAGAAGTTTCAATCTTAGATGAATAGTTGAAAATTGATTTTTTTTCTTTTAAATATTTATAAATAAAGAAATAATTCCAGAGTTATCGAGATAAACATCTATAATGTTATGCATCGTTTCTCTTGCTTATGTCATATGTTATGAAGAGAAGAAAAAGGACATTTGATGAATCATATATCTAAAATTATATATATATACATACATATGAATTTGCCTAATATCTATTGTAGATTAGATCAAAATGAATTTTTTATGGTATTTTTTTCTTTTTTTACAAATACAAATCAAAGTTGAATCATTATCTATATCGTTTGTTAATCTCATTCCAAGTATTATTGCAAATGGTCGATATGTTAAAGAAAATCTCATTGATTCAAATATTATTTTTAATTCAAAATTTTCACCAATAAATATTGATTTTACTTTTAATGCTAATCAATCAAATTGTAGTCGAGATATTCAATTATTATCTCGTGATTTAATATCAAAAAAATTATGGGCATTAAAGAGTAAAATCTTTTGTTTTTTGTTGATTGTTTTTCAATTGTCCTTTTTATTTTAGCATTAGATGCTTGGGGTAAATTACCAAGTGGTTTAATGCATGGAAATATCTATTGGATTGGTTCAGTATATGAATGTCAACATCATTTGCGTGGTTTTAATAATAGTATAATCGAACAACCATTTAAAACACGTACATGTACGATTGGCAATGGATTATCGAATACAATTCGGCCGATTTATGGTATTTGTGTACCTCAAAGTTGCAATACCGATGATATTGTCAATTATATTAATAAACGTATGTATATTGGTTATTGATTTTGTTCATATATAAAAACTATTTTCGTAATATTTAGGTGTTATTCACATTCCATATATTAAAGATTTCGTGAATCTAACAGATGATAGTGTTCATTGTATTGAACATCGTCAATTAGATAAAATGGCTATTTTAACAATGTAAATAGAATAAATTAATTTTATTTATTATCTTTACTTAGTTTTTTATAATCTAGTATACTTATATCAACAATTACTTTACTTATTCTTCTTGCTACTGGAATGCATGTTTTTTATGGACATAAACATGATTTAAAAATGGATGATGCACTTCCAAATGTAACAAATGAACCACTTGTAAGTCGAACAACAGTAATTAATTCATTATCAACACCTAATCGTACTGATGAATTTAATCAATCTGTATCATCAGATGAAATTACACCATTGATTGTAAGACCTGAAGGAAATGTTGATTCAGGTAAACACGAAAATTCTCTATTTTTTTGTTTTTGATTTAATTATTTATTTTTCAGTTGCACAAAATTTAATTAGTTGTTGTTCACTAATCAATAATTATCATATATTAAAATCTAATAGTTATCCAAAAAATCTTGCATGTCTGAATGGTATTCGTGTACTTTCACTTTGTTGGATTATTCTTGGTCATACACTTATTTTTGCTGTTTATTATTCTGGTAAGTATTTAAAAATTTATACGAAAGAAAAATCTTATTTTTGTTTTACTTATAAAAGATTAATAGATCTGTAAGTATATCTCTGTTTGATTAAATTCGCTATACATTCATGTGATTATTTGATATGAAAAACCAAATTTTATTTATTTAGATAATTTACTGACTATTTTCAATTGGTCTCGTAAACTTTGGTTTCAAATAATTGTCCAAACAGTCTTTAGTATTGATTCATTTTTCGTGTTAAGGTAAAAATTTTTTTTCAAAAGAAATATTTCTATTTATATATGATTTTTAGTGGTTTATTAACGGCATTTACATATTTTATTTCTAAAATTGAAACTGAAACATTTTCGATACGAAAATTTATTCTTAATCATTATATTTATCATTATCTAAGGTAAGAATATTTTCGAATTTATTCTATTTTACATTATTCAATATAGATATACACCATTGTATGGTATTATTTTACTTATTTATATAACTCTTTCGCCATATTTGGGTCAAGGTGGACCTATTTATCCAATAGATGGTATAGAATCATCATCGTGTCAACGAACTTGGTGGCGTAATCTGATTTATATAAATAATTTTTTTGATATGCATGATAGTTGTATGCCGGTAGGGTTTTTAAAATCGATCTATACTGTAATACGAAAATAAATCATTATTTAGATTACATGGTTTTTAGCTGTAAATATGCAGTTTCATTGGATTGCACCATTATTTTTCTTGATTGTTTCATGGTAAGATTTATAGATGATAAATCATAGTCGTTACGAAATAGAATATATATTCGTTATTTAGGAAATGGTTGGTTGGAATGCTTGTCTGTATTTCATTTATCATCGTTGATATAGTGACAACATCCGTTATAGTATCGAAAAATAATTATGAATATGGCCTATTAAGTGATTTCTATTCTGATGGGTAATAAAAATCGTTTTTTTGATTTCTTTTGTTTTTCAAAAATATTCTTTTATTTAGCTTAAATTGGTCTATTACAACAAATGGATATTTGAATAATGTCTATGTTAAACCATGGTGTCGTATAGCTCCATATGCTATTGGTTTAGCAATTGGTTATATTCTATACGAAGTTTATCAACGTTCAAATACAGTATCATGGAATTCACTTTTACCACGATCAACATTTTATAGTCGACATCCTAATTTTAAACAAGTATTAGCTTGGACATTTGCTATAATTATATTAACACTTTGTGTATTTGGAACATATGGTGATTATAATGGACATCCATTAACTCGTCAAAATCGTATTGCATTTCTAACTTTATCAAGATTAGGTTGGTCTATTGGACTTTGTACAATAATCATTGCTTGTTTTGCTGGACATGGAGGTTAATATCTAGTTAATTCGAATTTTTTTTATTTATTTCTTTTTATTTTAATAGGAATAGCAAATAGATTCTTAAGTCGATCATGTTTTTATAAATTATCAAAATTAACATATGGAGCATATTTATGGCATACATTAGTTATTTTTGTTAATTATCTTGGCCGAGAACAACCAACACATTATACAATTACAAATATCGTATGTATTTTATTTTTATAATAAGAAATAAAAATTTTTTCCATTTTTAGTTATTTAATTTTGTTTGTTATACAATTCTTTCTTATATTTTATCATTTCTTACTTTTCTTCTTATCGAACTACCAATAATTCAATTACTTAAATATTGCTTTAAGCGTCCTACAAAACTTCAATGACTTCTTCAATGTGTATATGTATAAGTTTTCCTTTTTATTGTCTTGTAAAAGCTTGAAATATTCTAAAAATAAAATTTTGAAAAGTTTGGTGATGTCTAATCTGTAAATTAATTTATATTTTTCATTTGCATTGATTTAAAAGTAAAATCAAGAAAACTATGGGAAGAATAATTAGTTATTAATCGGATTTGTTTAAAGTTACGATAAATGTCTCGAGATAATCACACTATAATATAATTTGTAAGAATAATAGTTATCCTCTTCAATCATCTAAAAGAAAGTTTAAAATGTTTATTATCAATAGAACAGCATCAAGTTAAATATAATTTATGATATACATTTGGAAAAGAAACCAATAATCATCATTCATTAGCTTCATTATAATAAAAGTTAAATATGTATAGAAAGTTATAAAAATAAAAACACGAAATATCTTAGATTCTTCATCATCAAAGCTTGTGATGGGGACGGTTTTTAAGGAAAGGATGAGATTTCGATCAAAAACTGTATTATCACTTCGATTTCACATATCAATTTGAGATTGAGGGTGATTACATCTACACTGGGGAACTGCAAAGTGGTCCCGGTCCCAAGACTAAAATTGTCAAATAATTCCTCAATGTTTTTATCAAGTATGAAATCAGACATTTTCTTATTTCTTTTTTTTCTTTAATTAAAAATTGACAAATGTGTTATTTTATAGTTCAAGAAAAAGCGAGAATTTGCGTGAACTTCATATTTTTTTTGCATAGATGAAGACAACACCAGAATTATTCTTAAGCTTTTATCAAGACCGGGACCAAAAAAAGTGATTTTGCAGTTCCCTAATCTGCACCCACACATTTTAAAACATAAAATTCGTATTGAACATATATGAACAATAGTAATACAATTTTTCATTCAAGAATATTATCAACGTCCATGTTTGTAATAACTTTCAACAACAACTATTAGTATTATTTGTATCTTGAAATGTATAAAAGATCGATGTCAATTTAATACTGACAGACATCATCAGAACAATTTATTATATTATATAGTTAACAGAAAAATAAAAAACCTCAACAATCTATTAGAGTTTTTTTCACAGGATTTTTAATGATTAGATACAGTATCAGATTCAGATAAATATTTAAATTTTTTCCCACGCAGTTTTGAAATATGTCATTTCCGTACTTGATGCTCCCTTCTTCATTGTATTGTTTAGTACAATGAAAAATATTTTTATTGTTAATTAAATTGTCAAATATTTAATGGGATACAGTATCGTTTTTCTATGACAAATGACATCTACGTATTTCCATCAGTTATTAGATTATTCTTATCTATACGAAAGTTATCGAATGGGAACAATTAAAAGAAATCAATATTTCTAATTATAGGGAGAAAAAAATCTGGTTTCTATTAATTAATTGGATAAAAATCGTTTCTTTTTCAATAAATTTAACCCATCTAAATTTAGAAATAATTTATATAATTCGCTAGTTCTTTGATTATTATATCGTAATAATATAAACAGGGTCGAAACAACTTTCCATGAATTAGGCACAATTCCATCAGTCTTATCTATTCTTTTATGTTTCTATTTTCCAGTGATTAACATCCAGGGTATGCTATACTTATTCTTATAACAATAACAACATCAAGGCCTTGATGGCAGATGTATTTTAGACATATAATCAAGAAAATACTAAAAAGATTTTGCTATATATAGAAATTCATCTACCTATCATAAAAATGGATACACTTAAAAAAAATCGACATATAGATAAGTTTTTATCAACTTTATATACCCGATACTGACAGTAGCATTTTACTCATATAAACTATATTGAGATCAGATATATAATGACAAAACCCTTTTTTTTTAGATTTCAAATAGAAGTTTATTTGAAATTGATCAAGCAAAAGATGATTTTTATTCATATGAATTGACATATTTGACTATTTCATTGACAGTAGAATATCTATTTATATTTCCTTTTTTGTACAAATCATAGAAATATGTCATTATTCATTATGAATAGTTTGTTAATTCACATAGTTTAGTTCTATTTGTCTTGACCTTCATCTTTAATACATGTTATTATGTATCATTTACAATTGAATGTTCTAAAGATCTCTCGACTAAGATTTATTTTTTAATAAAAAAAAACGTCAATATCATCATTTAAATAGATAAAATTATACAAATAATTTCGTTATTTTGTAAAATCTTTCTTGTTCTTTCATTCATAATTTCTCCTCAATTAGAAAAAAAACAAAAATCACAATTTTGTAATACAAATATTCATTATACACATAATACAAGATGAAATAAGCTGGAAAGATTTTCGCAAGAAAACTCAACACTAAAACATATTCATTCTATATAAATGAGATAAAATACAAAAGAAAAAAAAAACGACACAAATATCATACACTGGATTGATCGCTATCTGTATTAACAATTATATATAATAAAAAACAACACTTTATGTATGACCAAGCATAGTTCTTGTATAATTACGATTACATTGAATGCATAAAACATGATCATCGATTGGATAACAACCTTCTTCCATCGTAAATTGTATTTTACATTTCTAAAACAATAAAATAAATACAGAAGATTTACAAAAATTTTATTTTACTTCACATCGATAACAATCAATATGATAATTTCGATCGAGAGCAACAATACGAATGGTTTCTTCTTGACCATTGATTGGTAATATAGGTCGATGACATGCAAAACAACGTGGAGCAAATTTTTGATGAAAACAATCAATACAATGTACTTCCATATTTGCATCAATGGTAAATGGTACACCATCTAGACTTTTATGACAAACAACACAACAAAAACATTCAGCATGATAAGGTTTCCCAGTTGCACGAAGAATCTATATTATAGAATAAGTTTAATATTTTTTGTATGATTTAACTTACTCTATCAGTAATTGGTCGGGCACAAGCAACACATTTTTCTAATGAAGTCTAAGCGAAACAAAAAACGAAATTTAAATTTGATTTTGAATTAATTATTAACTTACAATATAACATGTTTCACAATATGGTTTATTTTCCATTGAATAGAAATGCATACCACGTAAACGACCACCACACATCGTACATGTAAAACATGAGACATGATACATTCTATCCATAGCTACGAGTCCATTTTCTTCTCCAACTATTTCATCATTACATCTTGCACACATACCTTGAAAAATAATAGAAAAATTGTTTAAATTTCTAACATAAAAAAAGAATACGAACCAAAAAAATTTGGTTCATTGGATGAATTGATACTTTTCATTAATAAACGTGTAAGATGATCAACATCAGATGGATCTTTTTTCATAAGATGACCACTACGCATTGAAAATGGTGTTGAATTTGTATGTGGTGATGATGTTGGTGGAAGATTTACAATAGATGGTGATCGATGTTCTGAATTTTCAAATACTAGAGATTTATTACTATTCAAATTTGTATATGCTAATAATGGTTTAAAACGATTAGCAACTACATTCGATGTATATCGATTATCAATAGGAGAATCACGATGCATTTCGATCTGACGAAATGGCTAAAACAAAAAACACATTTTAATATATTTATAATTCTATGAATAGAATTTTACTGATGGTGTTCGTCCACGCATATGAATAGATGATGATGATGGTGGTGGTGATACAGGTAAATCTCTTTGATTTGAATTTATTGGTGGACCAACCGATATATGGAAAGAATTATCATTTCCATTTGTATAAGGCATTGGTGGATTAGTAATTCCTTGACGATTAATTGCTATCGATGGTGAATCAGGTCGTGATATACGAAATTCTCTTAAAGTTGATTTTGCTGGATTGGGTGATGGTGAAAAACGAATTTCAGATCGATTTGGTGAACCTCGTGATGCAATTGTTATTAATGGTGATTGTGATGCACTAACACTTATTACAGCTAAAAAATAAATCATATAACTATAAAATTAAATTATTGCCACTTCTTTTTTTTTTTTGAATCAATATGATACTTACGACGGTGATTATTGTAATTATTACTAGTTGGTGCTACAGATCGATATTGTGGATAATGTGAATGTTTAACAATTGTAGGTGATGATGGTTCATGATCGGATAAATATGAAAGTGAAAGTGAAGAACCTAAATAAATATTGTTCAAAATTTAATATGATCTTCACAATTATTTTTTCTTCATTATTAGATAAACAAAACTAACACTTCATTGCTCATTTAGAGAGAGAGAAGGAAACAGTAACCTTGATCGCTTCATCGAGGTATATCTTCAATATACAGTCTTTCTCTATTCATGATGATGATTGGCTATGTTAACAAGAATCGTTCTATAGATTGTCAACAGAAGATCGTTATATATGTATATGTAATAATATTGAGAACATGCCAACATTTCTATGACCTTCAATATATCATCTAGTTTTTGATGAGAAACGACTATATAGTTAGTTTTTAACCAAACAAAAGGGATGACACAGAAAACAAATCAAAGTATGCATTTAAATACAGTCATCACAACAAAAAACATGCAAAAGAATAAAATCCTACGAGTTTTATGATGATGATTGTAACTATAATATAAAAATTAAAAAAAAGAAGGATAGAATTCTTTTGAGGATATATTTATTATATATATATATATATTTGTTTATACCTGAATCTGATCGTCCAATAGTTGTTGGAAGAAATGGATTTTTAACTGGTACAAATTGATAAGTATTATCAATTATTGATGGTGTAGAAAAAGCAGCTGGAGGCGGTGGAAATTCAATTGAGAGTGATTCATCGGATGATATCGATTCATCATTATCATCATCAACATCGTCATCATCATCATCATCATTATCGTTAACATTATTATCGTTTGCTAAAATAAGAAAATAAGCCACACATTTAACATGCGTCATGCTTCAAAAAATCATTTAATGAATTGCAAACAACAGATCAATAACATGCCCCTATGTCGTTTTCTTTTTCATATACATATTTATGTTTTTTATCTTACCATTCATTTGATTAACTGAAAAACGACGTTGTGGTTGATTTTGAAGATATAATTGATTATCAATTTGTCGACGATTATTATTGGTATAATCAAATGGATCAGGAGTTACTTGTGAACGATAAAATGGTTTTGGTCCAACAATACGAGTTGTTGTCGATGTTGGACTTGGTGAATAACGATTTGCATTCATTGGTAAAGTTAAATTACTATCTTGTCGATTGAAATAGGGTGCTTGACTTTGGACAAATGTATTATTCTTTGATGATAATGGCGACGAAGACATGGATATTTATATTTATCTTCAGAAAAAAACAGGATGATGCGTATGTATGTGCGTGTGTATAACAACAGCGACAATCAGAATCCACCCACACAAAAGAATGGTCTAAAAGATATAATGGGAAACGAACAAAAAAAAGGAGAAGAAGAAATGGAGATGGAAGAAGAAAAGAAAAGATAGAGAAGGAGGAAAACAAATAAGCTTGTATCATCAGAGTTAGTAGTGGATATAGAAGGAACGAGAAAGTACTGCTATGTGTTTTCTGTTCTAACTTGTTGATAATGATGATGATACTATATTGGATGTTCATTTATACGAAAAATCTTTTTCTGTCCTTTATCTTGTCGTAAATAGATCAAAACACACGAGACAACCAGTCAATCAGATACCTGTTGCGTAGTAATATCAAAAGCCTGGATGTCAGCTAACTTTTTCTATAAATGTCGTCGATATAATAAAAAAAATATTGTTATTTTATACGTATTTTCTTTTCTTAAAAGGAATATTTCCGATCTATGCAGTCATAAATAAATAAACACTAAGAATTGAAAACTATATTTATAAATACTTGTCAATAAAATCCTAGTATATATTAGATATAGTTTTCTAAAATATAAGTAATACTTTATAAACATAATCAGATATATAATATTTAATAATCATAATATCGTCAATCATTTCTAGTTTCGAATGTTTATTTATCATTGTTTTATCTAGAATAGAAAGAGAATAAATAAAAAAAAATATAGTTCAATGTCAAATAATAAGTTATTTCATGAAGATATATGTTGAGTATGAATACTTTGAAGACAATGTGTTCTAATCTGAAACATAAATCTTTCTCTCCGTTTCTTTTTATGTGTCAATATTGACTGATAAAAACAAAGTAAAATATTTGTAAATATCTCTCTTAATAATCATACAATAAAATCTCTAATATTACTCTTAACAAATGATCAAAATCTATGTATACATAATAAGAATAAATACAAATACATATCACAACAAGATACTATACTATATAACTGAGTTGAATCAAATCTATACTCACTAATAATGTGCTTGACATTTGACACAATACTCTTATTCTTTTATGATCATGTATATTTCTCTACACTAATACATTTGAAATAGAACTATATGTAGGTCAAAGAAATATAATCTTTTCAATAAACTATTCACCTTTATAAACAAAAAGAAAATATTTTTGAATAAATTATAACTATAATCAGTTAGTGAGTAAGCATTAGTAAGTTTAAGATCCATAGGAATCCATATTATATATACGCATTGTTAAAAGCTTATTCATCTGTCAATAGTGGTCAGTAGTAGACGATAAATAGTATTCATTGTTCAAATCATGAGAGACAAGTCTTACGTACTTCTATCATGTAATATCCTTTTAAAAAAACATATAATTAATAAGAAAGATACTTTACATTCATTGTTATCGTTAGTACATATGTTAATAATATTAAAAGTAAGAAACGTTGAAGATGATTCCACAATATTAGTACTCACATACTGAGAAAGAAAACCTAAAAACCAGAATATCTAGTCTATTATCATTTACTATTATTTACACACACATTGTGTCCTAAATATCTTTTATCATAAGTAAATATATTCTTATGATAATAACTCTAGCAGACATATCTTCCTTAATTTATGTTTTTATAAAAAGTTATTGTAGTAAATCCACATGAAACTATTGATGATAAAAACTTCATTTATATATAGAAAATATATTTACGATTCATCATTTTTTTTTCTTGAATAAAAACGTCAAACAAATTGTTTTTATTTTACTCTATAGAAGAATTTCTTCACATCGAAGACATTTACAAAATGAAAAAAAAACACAATGAAGAAAACATATCCATTAACATACTCTCTTAACAAGATCATTTAATCGTAATGGTAACCATTGACCATTTTCAAATAGAAATAAAACATTTTTATCAATATAAATATTAACATTTCCAAATTGATAAATTTGTTTGCCTTCAAATGTTCGATTCGTTAATGGTATAAACAAAAGATTATACTGTGCAGCTTTCTTTTCAACAAGATCTTTAAATGATGAAACAACTGTCGATGTTGATGTTGCAACACCACGATTATAAATTGCCTAAAAAAGATGAACGAAATCAATTAAATAATATCTAATACTTATCAAAATCTTACTTCATAATTAACATTGACAGGAGGTTGTGGTGGTGGTGGTGGAGTGGGTGCTGCTGTTGGTTGTTGAGCATTTCCTGCACCAGATATTCGTCGATCTATCATCATTAAACCTTCGGTTAATTTTTCTTTTATTATCGTATGATTAATAATTGCTTGTGGAAGTAATGAACGCCAACCACTGTACCATCGTTGAATTTCTTGATAATTTGGATTTGTATTTAACCATACATTAAGTACCTATAAATATACAAATAGTTTTTTTTCTTCGTTAAAAAAATGATCATCTAATACATACTTGTAACCATTTTGGGAAAAAACTTTTTTCTAATATAGCAATCATACTTGATAATGGTACCATATCAATCCAAGCAATAAACCAATTCCATGGATCTAAATAATATTGATGAAAAGATTTTGAATAGAAAAAGAAAACATTTATTTTATACCTAAAACTTGTTGTCGAGGATCAATAATAAATTGTTGCATTGTTGTAATTAATTTCGGTACAATATGTTTATTCATAAATGCATCCCATGTTCCTTGTTGAAAAACTTTTTGCCATGGAAGTAGAACAGCTTTAGCTGATGAATCTGATGGTTGCCAATTTTGTAAAGCTTGTGCCAATTTTGTACGAATTGGTTGATAAAGAGGTTCGAGACGATCTTTCATTAATGGCAACCATGGATGAATCCATGAATGTATTGGAATTGAATCAGTTAATGGATTCCATTGATCAACTTCACGATGAAGAATTGGAAAAATAAGTTGATTAAGTATATTATCCATTATCCATGAAGGTAAATATGGTTCCCATCGTTCAATTAAATCAATTAAATCATCTGGATGACGTGGATTCCATTCTCTAGAAAATAAAATTTAGAAAATATTTTATATTAAAATATTTCGATTGACTTACAGAATAGCTCGTCGTAAAAATGGCATCCAAACATCCCAAATAAGTCGATGATATGGATCCATATTTTCTCTTGATGAAATTGTATTATCTACTGTTAAGTCAATAGTAGTATCTTCAAGTACATCTTTCCATTTAGAAAATAAACTAATTAATTCATGATCATGATCATGTTCACCATGAAGTATTTTCCAATTTGAATCAAGATATTGTTTAAGATAATTATGTAACACAGGTACTGCTAAATCCCATAAACGATATTTTTGATATTCTTTTTGATAAGTTCGTTTAAGTTCATCGAAAATTCGTTGAAGAAAAAATAAATCAGTCACATTTTGAACTTGATTAACAAGTTGTTCACATCTAAAATAAATTCTTAATAAATATATATATTTTCAAAAAATATTTTACTTACTGATCAATCATATTTATAAGAACATGTAATCTACTCATATTTGTTTGTTCTTCTGTCATCATTTGTTGTGTATATGATAAATCGTATTGTAATGCTACTGTTGTATCTTCATCAAATTTACGTCTAGAATAAATATTATAATAAACAAGGTGTTAGCGCAATAATTTGATAAGAATTTTCACAGTTGTTGCGAAATTACTATTATCATTCTTTCTTACCTTCGATGAGAACGAATCATTGATTCTTCACATGACTCAATAGCTAAATCAATGTTATGTGTTAATTCATTTAATGAAAAAACTTGTTCTGTTTCATAATTTTTTGTTGATATGGAATCATAATTTTGAAGAATACGTTGTTCACGACCTGTCATATCAATAATTTTTTCTCGAGTTTGTTCATTGGATTTTTTATTATGAAATTTAGTTGTTTGTTCTTTTAAAACGTCATCTAATGTTTTGTATAGATAGAATTGTTTAGGAACTTTCTAAATAAAATAAAAATAGAAGATGATTTATTAAAAGAATAAAAGAAAGATCTTTTTCTTACTTCTCGTTGTTGTTTTCTCCATTGTGGTGCAGTTGGACCAGCCGCTTTTTTCGATGCTTTTGTTGACGAACCAGGCTCTGATTCTGAAGACGAATAAAATTTATTTTCAATAAAATTTTTAAAAGAAAAAAGACAAATTACCTTCAGTAGCTGGTTTAACACGATTAGGATCTTCATGACCATATCGACCAATTGCACCTTTACCTTCACGTTTCTGAACTTGAATAGGTAATGCACGACCCTGAAGATTCTTTCCCAAACCATGACCTTTTTTATAACCCATCTAAATATTTTAATATTAGTTAGTTTTATTTATAATCAGAGATTAGAACTAAGCGGATTGTATGCTTGAAAAATATAGCTGCTTCTGACAAAAGTTTTAAATAAAACATAACTTACTTGCATTAACAGCTTCATACCAATACCTTTTGTATGTTTTTCAAATGCACCGAAATCTCTAAAAAGTAAATAGGCACAAAAAGGATTTAATATTAAAAAAATCGTATAATTTTAATACTTGTCGTGTATTGGTGCTGTATTGACTGGTGGTGGTCGTTGATACTGAACATTTGGCGGTTGACGTTGAATGACACGTGGTTCAATTTCTTCATCACTCTAAAACAATTGAATTAAATTAAAAGGAACTTTTTATATGAACATTCTGTTTACCGATCCATTGGGTCGATTCTTCTCATCTCGTATTTCTTCAACATCACTATCATTGTCATCATCATCATCATCATCATCGTCACTCATATCTCCACGTTTTCTTCTTCTTTTTCCAATTACTTCAACTTCGTCATCATCATCATCATCGTCATCATTGATTTCATCACTATCTTCATCACTATCATAACTTTCAATAATAGCCGGTTTCTTTTTTGTTTCGGTTGTTGTTGATTTCTTTTTCTTTTCGATATTTCCTCCTAATTTAACACCACTACTAACAAACGATATTGATTGTGGTCCGCGACCATAAGATGATGATGCTGTTGTTGTTGGACGATTGGATGCTCTTTCAGCTGATGTTGCCCAAATACCTATAATATTTAATAAATTATTTAAGATTTTTTTTTGATAGATGTAAATTTAATCGTTACCATAAATTGACTCTTCTTTACTTTGTCGACCACGTCGACGTGTAGGATTTAAAGCAGAATCTAAATCACTTTCTGTGATACTAAATTCTTCAATATAATCATCATCAGCCATTTATTCAATATCTAAAACTAAAATTCAGAAGAAAACAAAGATATTTTGCAATAATATTCTGTCTGTCAGAAATGAGTCATCGTAAACTTTCATTGGACCATATTAACAACCAGTTATGTAATTCTATAATATTTCTGTCGTCGTCAGCATCTGGATATTTAATGATATAAATTTATGACCTTACATTTTTTTAAAAATAACAGAAGAACCAAATATTATTTGTTTTTTATTTCTTCAGATTCTTCTTATTCATTCATTTTTCTATTATCAGTATGGCGAAAGTAAGTTGTTTTATTTTTTTATTTTAATAAAAAAGGATCATTTTAGGGAGATAACAATACAAAACCGAATCGAACAAATAATGATTCAACAACTAAACATGCTGATAAACCAAAAGGACGTTCATCGTGTTGTTCAGTTTGTATTTATGCATTTCTTTTTGTTTCCGGTGTATTTGTTGGTAAGTTAGATAAAATAATTTTAGATTTATATTAATATTTTTTGTTGTATATTTATTTAGCAACAATTTTACCTGATTTAGCTGGTCATCATTTTAAACAACCATATGGAAAACAATATGGTATATTTTTGAATAGAAATTTTATTAAAAACTATATATATATATTTATATTTAAAGGTGTTATGGTTCAAGAAGCATTTAAAGATTTACCAAAGCATTTAACGAATTTAGCTAAAACTACAGTTGTAGTTGGTCGTGATTTAGTTGATCGTTTGTGGGTAATGAAAGCTGAAATTGATCGTCGTGTTGAAGAAATAAAAAATAAAAAAGATGATTCATCATCAACAACAAAAAGTAATTAGTTAAATAGAAAAGTGCAATAGAAAATATATATTTAAATAATTTAAGCGAAAACAACAACTCAGCGTTCAGCAACTAAGACAACAGCAGCCAGTAACTATTTATAGATTTTAATTATTGAAATAGGAATTTTCTTTCTTTTCTTCTTTAGCAACAATCAAACAAACAACAACAACAAGTTTGTGAATGAATTTTTGTATTTAAAACTCATCTAATCCTTTTAGAAGCAACAACTCCTCGATCTACTACAACCCCTGTTCAATCAACTACAACAACTCAAAGAACTACCACTACACCTCGTCCAACTACAACAACAACCACACCTCGTCCAACAACTACTACTACTACTACTACCCGAGCAACAACAACCACACCTGCTCCAACCACCACCACTACTACTCGAGCAACAACAACCACACCTGCTCCAACCACCACCACTACTACCCGAGCAACAACAACCACACCTCCACCAACCACCACCACTACTACCCGGGCAACAACAACTACACCACCACCACCCCCTCCAACTACTACTACTACCCAAGCAACAACTACTCCACCACCACCTCCCCCAACAACTACTACTACCCAAGCAACAACAACTC